TTATCACCTAGACCTTACTCCAATCCCTGCTCTCAAGGATTGCCTCTCCTCCTCTCTTCCTGCAAATGTGGATATTTACAGGGTCCATTTACAGAGCTCTGGTTGGGCAGAGAGCCTGTCCTATCCCTGTAGCAATTTATAAGATTACTCTGAGTGAGCAAGGTTACTCTGACAACCAGTTAATCCTATCATCCTTACTGGGAGTTGGCCCAACATCCCCTGCCCCATCTTGAAGTTGGGCTGCTTAAGCCTTTTGACCCACACTTTCTTTGCTCACCTTTGACATTCCACAGACACATCCATGGTCCTCATGTCTTTATTTGATAACCTTTGCTGTTCTTCCTGCTGGGACTCAGCTGAGGGATAGAGTTCCAAGAAATAGAAAAAACATTTTTATTAATCCTATTCATTTTTCTTCCTGTAGCAGGTCCAAAGGTGAATGTCCCCTGCTCTGCAATATTTTATGTGTCACCTAAGCATAATAAATCCATAATCCAGTGTTCACCCATTTGCAGTGACTGAATGGTAAGGACAGAGTGGCAAAGGAAGGATGATGGTGGTACCTCGTTGCCAGGAATGTTTTGGTCCCACATCAATAACTGTGTTTTAAATACAAGTATACATCACTAGCTTGCTATGTATTCTCACCAAGAGATCATGTTCCCCTGAGGAGGCCTATTTGTTACCTATTTAGCATTTTTGCCCCTTTCTTCCCCCCCCCCTTTTTTTTTTACCCCCTTCTTCCTTTGTAAACAATTCTGTTCAGGTGTTACAGGAAGGAGGTGATTAGTCCAAGCCAGAGTTTCTCAGTCTTAAGACTGTTGATATGTTGGCAGGATAATTCTTTGTTATGGAGGCCATTCTGGGCATCATAGGGTGTTTAGTGGCACCTGTGGCCTCCCACTAGATGCTAGTAGCTCCCCTGTCCTAGTCCTACAATATAAAATGTCTCTAGACATTACCAAATGTCTCCTTGGGGGCAATATCTCTCTCAGTTGAGAAGCTCTGCAATTGACACAAAAGGGAAATTTGACAGATCAGTAGAACTATAGGCCCCCAACCTGGGAGGAGGGGCTGTTTTGTCTAAGCTTGGAGAGTGGAAGCTGTAGGTTCCTGGCCAGCAGCTTCTTCTGGCAGAGATGCCCAGGTAGCCTGACATAATATGTGTCAGCACAAAATCTCCCCGCTTTCATTTCAGATTCTTTCAAGCTGAAAGCTTTGAAGCTAATATCAAGGGCATCTTGGTAGACACTCAGGGCCTCCAGACTGTATGGCCCTGCTTGCTATGGCCCAGGAACAACAGGCCTGGGCCCTTTCCTATATTTGGTGCATCTGTTGCCCACCAGCGTCTTGCTTCCTAATGGTGTTTTTCATGGAGATCTAGGTCTATCTTCTAGGGAAGCAGAAATGGTCCTCAGTCAGTTGGTAGTGGCCTCTAGATCCATGACATTCTTTATTTAGAAAGGCCATTGGCTCCCAAGGTTGTCCCAGGGCTGGGAAGCTGAAGGGTGAGTTCTGTCTCCACCCTCACCCCTGAAAGCCCTCTCATAGTGCTGTCTCACTCATGTCATCACCTCTGGCCTACTAAGATGCTCAAGCTCTCTACCTCCCTTGGATACACCTGTGTGAGGGCAGATTATCTAGTGAGCACTACAGGGTCAGGCTTCCTCCTTCCATTTCTTGGTACTTCATCCACCCCCATCTCAATTTGTTACAGAGGCTTTCCTTGACTTCACTGTGGAAAGTACCCACCAGTACATCTCTACTTTTTAATATTATCTGATATTATCTTTACTTATTTGTTGATTGACACTCAGTTAAGCTCCAGGAGAACAAGGACTTTGTCTTGATCATCTTTTGTGTAGTCTTCAGTGCCTAGACCAGTACTGGGCACATAGATGTTCAGAAAATGCTTAAGAAAGAATGAATAAAGGAGGGGATTTAATTAGGCATTGGACAAATCTTCCTCCACATCTTAATAAGTGTTCTCCGCACTGGAGTGGCATCTTTCCCCATGACCTTTGGCAGTCTGTGACCATACAAATCACATGCCCTGCAGACTTTAAGCCATGTGTTGGGCCTTCTCTCCCATGTCTCTTGGGAACTCTGGATCTCTTTTTCCCCACTTCATGCTTCAAGAAACCAACTGTTTTCACTAACTCCACACCAGACTTGCCCAAACCCCATGAATTACAGTAATCTTTGCCCCAGGGAGTGAAGGTCAGCAGTAAAAATAAAACACACACCAGGGAGTAGGGCTGAACTTCTGGTATTCACAAGAGCATCTGAAGGCTCTCCTGTGACTCATCCATTTATTTTAATGACATCAGAATATGACAGTCTGTTGCATAAAAAATGTACATTATTTATCCCATAGCGGTGAAGTGGCACTATAGCATTGTTTTTAAAAACATCTTAAAATTTTTTCCTCTTAGAATCTATTGTTGGGTTAGAGAAATAAGCTTTGCCAAATGCCCAATTCTGTCTTTGCTTCTCTGGCTAGCTGGCATCTTTCACCAACTTTCCCCAAGCATTTCCTTTGGCACTAATCCAGACTAGAATATATGGGTAAGTGTCACCAAACCATGCTATGCCCCAGCTTCCCAGACATCTGAGTGCACTGTCCAGGAATGGTGGGGGGGGGGGGGGGGCCTTGCCGGGCCACCTAGAAGGTATTACAGGGTCTTTCTCAAATTTCAGTCTTCCTGGATGCCCATGGTGGAGTAGCAAGAAGAATGATGGCCTGGGTAGACACCAGGGTCTCTTCTTGTTTCTGGTGTTAATTTGTTCGATGACCTTGGTCTCTGGTTTAGACCTTCCATTTCTCTGATTCTCAGGTTTATCACTCATCAGGGATTCCCTCAGGTTCCTTCAGCTTTAATACTGAGACCCTGTGAATTTTGAGGGGCAAGCCCATTTATGCTAGGGGCTTCTTACAGCAAAGCCAATGGGTGGCTGCTTGGCCTTAGTGTTCAAAGTAGCTTTGTATATGGTGGAAGGCAAGGTTGGCTCCAGCCCCATCCTGGCCACTCCTGGGTTCCTAAGGGTCATTCTGGAGGATTACCTCTCATTCTCTGGCCTTAGGTAAACTCTTTCCCTTTCCTTGCCCCCTCTTCTTGTCCTTTTTCTGAAGTGTCAGACTCCGGTTCCTTTCTGAAATTGAAAAGGCAAAGCCATCTTCTACATGGAGCCTGTTGGCATGTCAATAGTAGCAACAACAATGGTAATAACATCTTACATTAAAGGTTTTTAGTTTACACTTTACAAATAACTTTTAAATACATCATTTCATCAGCCATCTTAGGATCTCTTGGTTGAGTCAAAGGGATTCTCCCTTCTCCTTTGCCCGATTCCTGCTCAGGGCGAAACAGAGCCTAATCCCCCTTTTCACATGTGTACGTATCCACACACAAACACTGAACCATACTTTTAAGCATGCAAATTACCTCACTGAATGTTTCTTGCCCTCTGGGACTTTGTTTCTAGAATTTGGCCATTGAAATAAGAGTTTTAATCTCTATTTGTTAGAGAAACTTCCTTTTGGGGACAATTTTCTTAATGATATTGTTTAGGCATTTCATAAAGTCAGGGTTTCCAAAACTAAGGGGAAGACTCAAAATCCCCCTCAAGCTACACTAAGAACCTGGTCCTTTGTGGCTGACTGCTGCTGGATTCAGGATTGGGCCCAGGGCATGATTGACAGAGGCAGGACTTGGGTTCATTGGGGGAGCCAGAGGGAAAGCTTGCAGCCTGGTGAGTCCTCCCAGAAAAGTCAGTGACCCTGGGGTGGGCTCTCAAGATGGCAGGCTGAGTGGGCTTTATGTCATGTGGAGAGAGGCCAGCTAGGAGTATTGGTGGTAGAATAAGCCTAGGGTTTACCTGCCTGGGTGGGGTGGGCTGGCAGAGCATGAGGGATAGGGAGGGGTGTTGGGCAGATCTCAGGACAGAACTTTTGAGCTACCACAAAGACTCTGGGGACCCACCTGGAAATCAGCATTGTTTAGCCACAAGAAACTGAACAACTGGGAGCCCCCAAGCCGTTCTGGGTGGTGGAGCCCTGTCTCTCCCAAGCCTGTCTTGACTTTGCCCCCAGTTCTCCTCCTAAAACACAGCATGTCTTTCCTTCCCCCTGCTCAAAAACCCCGCTGGGTCCCTGCATTCTAGCTCGCCACACGTGGCTCTTAGCGGCTGAACCTCTGCCTTTACATCTTCCCCACTGACTCCTAGTCCCCAGTGAGCATCCCACCCTCCTGCCCCCCCTGGACCTCTGACTGTCCCCGACATACCGGGTCTTTTCCTGTTTCACTCCTTTTTAACAGGCTATGCCCTGGGCGATTAACTCCCTTTCTCAACCCCCTGGCAAACTCCTATTCATCCTTAAAGATCCAGAATTGGAGATTTCCAGCTCTGGACAGCCATTTCCCTTGTTCATATTGCCATCAGGGAACTCCTATAATAAAGCAGTTGTCCCATGATTGTTTTTGCCCTGGACTGTAGGATTCTTAAAGGCAGATGTTTCTTTCCCGTGAGGAGTAAGTTCTGGAGTTAGGCTACCTGGGCCTAAATCCTGGCTCTACAGTTTATTAGGTGCCTGCTCTTGTGCAAGTTCCTGAACTTCTCTGTGCCTCAACTTATTCAACTGGAAAATGGGTTAGTAATGTCTTTGCTGCAGGGTTGTTTTGAAAATTAAATGAATATTATATACATATACACACATACACGTGTGTGTGTGTGTGTGTGTGTGTGTGTGTATATAATATAGAATGGTATCTGATGTATAATGTAGTAAGTACTAAATGAATCTCACTATTTGAAACAAATCCATCATGAGGTACACGAAGTACCTGGAATATAATCTAAGTATGCATATTTTTAAGTAAGTTCTTCCATTTAATTTCTCCCTCCCCACCCCTTCTTTCCCTCCCTCCCCACCCCTTCGTTCTCTTCCTCCTTCCCTCCTTATTTGCCACTTGCCTTGTGCTCTTCCATCTTTTCTTTTCCCCTCCTGATTCTTGGAGCCTTTGGCCCACTGTTGGTGCTCACAGAACCACTAGGCTCCTCTGGGGACACTCGATGCTGGAAGGTCCTTTGAGCCCCACACTCTCCTCCCTGACACTTCTGCAAGGGAGGCTCCCAGGGAAAAGGAGGGATGCGTGAGAGATGGGCAGCTGAGCCCTGGAGCCCTCTGCACTAGACTGAGTAGGGCGAGAGGCCGGGGCAAGTGTCCATCAGGAGGCATGCCTTTGCTCTCCTAGAACTCTGTTTAGAAACTTTGGATACTGGGCGAACAGAACAAGGAATGGACACGAGCAGGAAAGATAGCAGTAAAGAACATCTACTTTCTTCTCCTGGTAGGGCTGGTCTGATGAACTTAAACTACCTGAATTTCTCCTGTTTACACCATTCTGGAGAAGGAATCTAGAACTTTTGAGTCTGGCTCTTCTACTTATCAGATATGTGGCTTAAGACCAGACACAGAGTTTGAGAGAGGCTTTGGTTTCCTTGTCCATGAAATGGGGCTAAACGGCTTTACCCTTCTCATGGGGGCAGGGGTTGCATGGATAAAATAAGGTGCGGTATGGATATGCGTTGGGGAGTGTTGCAGATGGGCAAGGACTTGTCATCAATATGACGGTGGTCTGGAGGATCTGGTGGCAGAGGCTTGTGCTTCCCATGGGAAGATCCCCCAAGAATTTTCCAGAGTCATACTTGTACCCAGGCAGTGGGCAGGCTGGGCTCCTGGCTGCCTGCTCTCCCATTACTGCATTCTAATGTAAAATTCGTGGGACATTGGAGGGAAGAGGACGGTGCACAACTTTCCAAAGGAAGGACCGGTGGTTGGGGCCTGAGGAGACTGCATAATCCCTTCTTCCCTTGACTCACCTGGAGAGGGTCAGGAAAAGAGGCGGTGTTTTAAAATTTGGCAAAACAGGCTCAGACGAAGGCTGTGGCAGAGTTTCGGATAGCCCTGTGGTGGAAGCCAGGGCCAGCCTGGAGGGAGAAGAGGGCCCAGACCCCGCTGGTGGCCTGGGGCAGATGGGGGCGGCAACTGCGAGTCTGAGGTGGCTGGGGTGCAAAAGCTCGTCCTGGAAGGATGGGCCTCGGCAACCAGGACTTAAAAGCTGGGTGCTTTTAGGGAAGAGAAAACAGTCATTAAAGATAAGAAGAAACAAAGAAAAATCTTTTCCTTCTCTTCCTCTTATCATTCCTTTTCCTGAGCTCAGTAAGCAGGTCTTGGTATCTCTGCTGACATGATACTGTTTCATCACATTAAAAACTTCCTTCTTCCTCGGACAGGCTATCACTTCTTTATTCTTATCCTTTTGTTTTAAAACATTTTTATTAGTCTTTTTTTTCTTAAAATTTTTAACAGCGGTTTATAAAAACACGACAAATACACAACACAAGACTTGGTAAAAATAACTCACTATATGTTACATATACTCAGACGGTGTGATATATTTATATAATAGATGAAAATAGTCACTTTCCATAATAAAAATAAGTTCTATTTTTTGTTTATTTTACAATATACTTAATATTCTCTTCTTCTGCTTCCTCTCCAGCGCTCACTTCTTCACCTCGAGTCTCGAGGGGGTCCCACGTGGCTGTCGCAGCCCCACGAAGCTGGAGTCTGAGAGGTGGGGGGCAGAGGGCCTTAGGAACACGCGCGGCAGCCACACTCCAAGTGTCTCTCCACCTCTTCCACAAACGAGGAGCCGTCTGTGCACTGGAAGACGTATTTCCGCCGCTTGCTGCGGGTGGGCTGGCAGCACTGCAGCCCACAGCCCCCACGACACTCCATCACGGGCACTTTGGAGGCTGTGGCGCAAGATGCATAGCCTTTCTGGCGGCGGATCACCTCTCGGACTACCTCCCCCAGGCACAGGTTCTCTGCAGAGGGTAGAAAAGGTAAGGTCAGGGCATCGGCGGCATCGACGACAGGCCAGGGCCATTTCCTGGGTAGGCTGTTGGGAAACACTTGAGGTGTAAAGACCATTTGAACGTCTTCAGTCATCCCTCTGTCTCCCACCTGTTAACTGCCCAGTGATTCCACAACTATGAAGGCCTTTCCTGGGCCAGGCTCTCTACGGGATTTATGACTAAGCCCTGAGGATCTAATGGTGACAAAAACAAGCCCCATCCTTTCCTTCAAGGAACTCCAAGACCAAACTCGATGTGGCAAAGTAGTAGACGGGGGGCTAACTCCTGTGCCCCAGTTTTGATGTGTCACCTAGACTTAGAAGCTGAGCTAAATGTCACCATTAAAAACCCCAGGAGCTTAAATATTGGGATTTCTGGTTTCACAGAAAACCAGGAAGTGTCTGGTTTGCCCCAGTCCCCACTGGTGCAGCATCTAGGTCTGTTCACTTCAGCGATGACAGAATTAGGAATGATAAACAGAGGTGGATGCTCTATAGGAACAGAACGTGGCAAACAGCCTGCTGCAGCCCAGGGGTGTGGCTCTGGAAAGTGCTGCTGGAGGTGAGGTCTGCTTGGAGTTTCATCTTCTGACTGCACTGTCCCTACGACATCGGGAGGAGGGCTGCAGCAAGGCACTGAGGAAGACCATACTGAGCTTAGAGTTTGGCTTTGGCCATCAGCCAGACCCTCACTATCCCTGAGCCTGTCTCCTTGTCTGGAAATGGTGATACATTTCCCTGTCCTTCCTATGCCTCACAGCTTATGAGCCTCAGAGGAGACTGTGAGTGAGAAAGGGCTTTATGCATTTTAATGAATTTTGTTAAGCTTGATCTAATTCTTCTAAATTATGAGATTGTTACAAGATAATGAGTGTGTGAGTGTAGGAATGTGGTTGGCGAGAGACCAGATGTGGCAACATGTTAATTGGGCAATCCGGTGAAGGGAAGGTGGGAGCTCTTCATATTCTGGCAATTTTTCTGTAAATCATGTTTCAAAATATTTAATAAAAATTATAAAAACATCAGTTTTGGTTGAACAGTATTTCAACTAGATATAAATGTGAGTGTCCCTTAGAGACAAGGTGGTCTGCCTAGGAAGCCAGTGGCAGGGAGGAAGACTTCAGTTTCCGCGCAGGAAAATAACCCCCTGTGGGGAGGTGGATTTGAATTCTAATACAATCTAGTCTTAATTTTCCTGTTTGAGTTTACTTCAATATTAGCACACTACAGGGGTGCCTGGGTGGCTCAGTTTAACCATCCAACTTTGGCTCAGGTCATCATCTCACGATTTGTGGGTTTGAGCCCTACCTCAGGCTCTGTGCTGAAAGCTCAGGGCTTGGGGCCTGCTTCGGATTCTGTGTGTCCCTCTCTCTCTGCCCCTCCCCCACTTGCATTCTGTTTCTCTCTCCCTCTTTTTTTTTTTTTTTTTAAATTGTTTTTTCAACGTTTTTATTTATTTATGGGACAGACAGAGACAGAGCATGAATGGGGGAGGGGCAGAGAGAGAGGGAGACACAGAATCGGAAACAGGCTCCAGGCTCCGAGCCATCAGCCCAGAGCCCGACGCGGGGCTCGAACTCACGGACCGTGAGATCGTGACCTGGCTGAAGTCGGACGCTTAACCGACTGCGCCACCCAGGCGCCCCTCTCTCTCCCTCTTAAACATTAAAAAAATTTTTTAAATGCACTACAGGGGCTGGGGGAGGGGAAGAGAGTAAGGAGGGTTTGAACTGCTGTGTTGGGGGGCTAATTTGTTACAGAGCAATAGACAACTGCTGCAGCAATGTAGGGTATTGCCCCCATTTTCAAAATGAAAGAACAGAGGCTTTTCTAGAAAGCGGCTGACAAAGGTCATGCAGCCTCCAGGTGGCACAGCCAGAATTCAAACTTCAGTCTGGCTCTGGGGTCCAGTTCTGACCCCTGCACCCTTCTCAGGTTCCCCCTCCTGGGCACACAGTAGACCCACCTTGCTCGCAGTGCTCCCCACTAAAGCCAGGCTGGCACAGACAGTAGGGCTCTCCTCGATCTGAGATGTGGCACTGCCCCTGGTGACACTTGAAGGCCAAGCAGGCGTTGGTGGATTCGTTCTTGTGGTCACATGTGGGCCCCCCGTAGCCCTCTGCACACTTGCACACATATGAGGTCCCGGTTGCTACACATTTCCCATGGCTGCAGCTGTTGGCAGAGGAGAGAATGAGAAGGGGCAGAGACGGTGCTGCTGGAGGCTTTCTCTGTCCAGCCCAGCCAGGGACCAGGCTCTGACCAGCAGGCCCAGAGCTGTGGAACCTTAGGTCTTCTCCATCCCATGGTCTGTCCTCTGCTAGCCCAGCGGCTGAGCAGCAGTCTTGTCTTACTCTGCCACAGCTGGAGGCTCACATCACCCAAACTCCACTGCCAACTGTGACCATGAGGCTGGCTTGCTGTTCTCTAGGCATTAGAACTCACATATCCAAGCGGAAGGTCACAGCTCAGAACATTTTAATTGCCCTATCTTAACTGATAGCAATGGAACTATTACCAACACCATCAATGGTGCCAGGCATGGGACTAAGTGCTGTATACCTGGCATCATTCTTATTTTCTACAATCACCTCTCCTCTGCTGCTTCTATGTAGAAGACAGTCTTATTCACATCTCCTAGATGGAGAAGTTGAGGCTGAAATTCACCCTCAGTCCACTTGCCAAGCCAAATGCTCTTGGGGCTGCATCTGCCCAGAGTCATGTAGGTATGTGCTGTGGCTCTGGACAGGTTCTAAAGGGTCACTTGGCAGAGACCGGTGTTCTCAGCAAGGTCCTCACACACTGAGGTCTCTAAGTGGGACCTGCTGTTTGGCTGTGTAAGCTCCTGATCTCTTAAGCAGGACCTGTGGACAGTCTGACCACACTTCCTCCAGCTTTTATCGGTGCCGCTTCTTGGGTGGGGAAGGGGTGGGGGGGAGGGACTGAATCCAGGCAGGGAGTCTAGGCTCTCGGGACACTGACCTGTGGCCCAGGCAGGGGTCGCGGGCCTCCTGGTCGCACAGCGGGCCGGTCCAGCCCGAGTGGCACTCGCACACCACGCTGTCCTTCTCCACGGAGCGACACAGGCCGTGCTTGCACACGGTGCAGGACTTGCAGCCTGGTGAGACCCCCAGGGACTGCGGTGGGAGGGCCTTGAAGTCTTGCAACTCGTTGTTGATGCGCACCTCATGGATGCAGCCATGAAAGCCGCCCAGCGGCCGGTCCGTGCCCTGGCGCAGGGCTGAGAGGCCCGTAGAGGTGGGGATGCCTGGGGGAGGGGCGCCAGCACAGCCGCCTGAAGACCCTTCCCTGCCCACCAGCCCAGACTTCCCCTCAGAGCAAGGAGGAGGTCTCTACGTGCTCACAGCTCTGGGCCTCTGCTGTTCAGATGGAGGGAATGGACCCAAAACCTGGGACCTTGTCCACAGAAGGACTTGAGTCCTTTTTCCTACACTTTGACTCTTAAAAATGTGAATTTGTTACCAACCTATTTTAAATATAGAAAATTTCTAAAATCTCTATTTTGGGCTTGTCTAGAAAAAAAGACGAGCTGGCTAGTCACAGGCCACAACTAGCTGGATGGAGGAGGCCCACCCCTCTAGGCAGGGAAGGGATGGTGCCTCCCATTCCTCTACTGTTCCCACCAGGTCCTCCTGTCCCCATCCCTTGTTCTACCCTGCACAGCACCAGGCTGGAGAGCTAGAGTTTGGGAGAAGAAGGGGTTTGGGCGAGCAGCCTTGATCTGTGGAAACTTGGGGGTCTTCACAGGGGGACAAACTGTGTCCCTTCTGGGACTGCCCTTGCCTGAAGACTTTCCCTGGACCCCTGGCACCTGGACTGGCTGTTAATACAGATTCCTGGGCTCCTTGGCAGGGATGTCTTGGGAATCTCTGTGCTGAACAAGCTGCTCTGGTGACTTTTTTTTTTTGCACATAACCCTTTGACATCTACAGGTCCTGGGCTGCACTTCAGGTCTAGGCTCTGCCAGAGAGGTGGCTACTTCTTTTTGGCCTTTGTATGACTTTAATCTCAAACATGTCCTACATGCATCACATGAGCCTCCCAGTATCTGACATGGTGGCAGAGCAGAGGGAACATGACCCCTGCAGATCATGGGGCTTGGACTCTGTCTCTATTTCCTCCCTCTCCATTCCATCTTTGCCTCTTCCCACCATCATTCCTGAACCACTTGTGCTTCCCAGAAGGAGCCCTATCTTCTCTCCTCTCCTCCTCCCCATGATCTGGCTTACTTGTCACTTCCTCCAGGAAGCCTTCCGTCATTTGTTTTGGCAGTGGATGCTAAGAGTAGGGGAACCCCAGCCAGTGGGCCTGGGTGTGGGTACCTGAGCAAAGGTGGGGGGTGTAGGTGGTGGGGATGGGAGGGGAGAAAAGCCTTACCTCCGAGGTAGAGGGGGCTGTTGATGCCTACTGCCGGCTGCTTCTGGAGCTTTCCCAGGCTCTTCGGGGCTCCTTTATCCACCACCAAGTTCAGGGTCTGATTTAGCATCACCAGCTCCACACTGTGAAACTGTCCGTCATTCACCGTCTCCACACTGGGCAAGAGAAAAGGGGTGAGAATCAGAGGGATTGCTTTATGCTTTCTGTAGCCAGGCCCTGGGCTGTGAACGTGGCCAGCATTTGAACTTGGCCAACCATGAAGCACAAGTGGTTCATGGTTATCATTATTGGTTTGCATTCCTTTCCAGTGTTTTACAGAGGTAAGCAAACTCCATCCTCCGACCACCTTCTCAATTTTTGCTCTACTGCATGCCACTGGAACCATTATTTCCTTAAATTTTTCTTCAGTTGCTCCATTTCCCCCTTAAACACCAGTAAGGATATAATAAGGCCAATGTTCTTGGAAAGAATACTGTCCACGAAAAGACTATTTCAGTATGATGTATATATTTTTCCTAGTACATATGAAAAAAGTGATCTCAGTTAAAATGTCACCAGTGTCTTTGTCCCACCTAAATTCGTCTCATGCACCATCCGAAGTATGCACGCCATATTTGGATTAATATTACCACACAACACTGCTTCACGTGTTTACAGCATTATAGAAACGAGGAAACAGAAATTCATGGAGGTTAAATAATGTTCCTAAGTCCCCACAACTAATAAGCCATAGGCTAGGGATGTACACTGAGGTGCATCTAGCCTCAAAGCCCACATGCATGCCCGTTTCCCATCGCCTCCCTCAGTACCAGCAGGCAGTCACCAAGGGCTTATGAGACACAAGAGCTAGGCACAGGGCTAAATGGTTCTCTGCTATTATTTGAACCTCACCATCATTCTATGAAGTGGTGTCAGATATCCCATTTCACAGCTAAGATGACTGAGGCCCAGAGAGGTTAAGGGGTTTGTCTGAGGTCATCCAGCTAGTATGTTCCAGAGACAGAATTCACAGGCAAAACATTTGACTCCATAAAGTTCTGCTCTTTCCACTACTTGATCCTCGGCTGGGCCTGGGAGAGAGAAGTGAGCGCAGGTGATAGGTATTGGGGGATATGGTACTCCTTCCCTGAAAATGGCTCTCTGAGGAGGATGCTGAACTCTGTCTTAACCATTCAAATGTGGGCGGTGAATATGGAGGCTCCCTCTCCCCTTGAGTTCTCCCTGGCAAATCCCCAGTAAGTTGGATCCAACAAGAGGATCCTATGCCAGAGGTGGCACCGATTACCTGGGAGGCAGGGACAGCTTCACCGACTGACCTGGAGTTAGAAATCTCAGCAAAGAGGTGAGAGAAATGCTTGGGAGAAGAGAGGATAAATTGGGGTGGGGTGGAGAAAGCATGGAGTCTGTCCTAGCCCCTTTTTCAGTGGGTGTGGCCACTCAGCGAGTGTGGCCACTCAGAAACAGAACCCCTCTGGGTTTCCGGTCTTCTCATCTACAAAAGGGGGAGAACAACCTGACAGAATTACTGCAATGATCGAATCAGAGGAGGTACTTGAAAGTCCTTTCGAGACTTTGTAATTTACACTGTAAATTATTGAGAAAATGTGACCCATTATCACTAGTGTCAGAGTATTAATGACGATAAGAACCGACCATTGCCTGCAAACCTCCTGACTCCTGCTCTTGTGCTGATCTCTGGGAGAAAGTGCTGGTAGAGGGGGGCACGCAGGAGCCCAAGACCTTCCCAAACCCATCATGAACTTTCTTACTCTTCCATCTACCTATCATCCAACCATCATCTATCCTTCCAACAACTTGTCTCTCATCCATCCACCTACTCGCCCACCGAGACCAGTGGCAAACAGTACAGACATGTACCATCACGAGCCCACATTTCCTTAGCCTTTCCTTTAAATCAAACCACCAACATAGTAGTGTCAGGTCAGGTCAAGAAATAGGGCAGTGGGGGGTGGAGTGATAGCTAAGAGTCCATTGGAGGATCTCATTTGTGATGGGGAGCCAAGAAGCCATAGAAGATGGAGCTGTTCTATTTCAGTAGCTTCCAGCTACTCTAAGTAGCGAGCTGAGGATAAGGCAGAGACCTGTGTTCCTGCAGATGAGTTGATGATGGTGTCAGTGGGGGAATGAGGGCTGGTGTGCAGAGACCACAAACTCTGACCTTGAGCCCTAACACAGTTTTTTAAACATACATGCAAGAACATGCAGCTGTATCCCTAAACCATTTGGTAAATTGATGCTGTCCTGAAAGAGCTCCCCCTCTCCTGAAGTGTGTAACTAATGCTGGGCAGCCACCTGTTAGAGAGGAGTTGTAGAGAGGCTGCAGCTCTGGGTGGGTGGTCTTGGCATTCCCTTCCAATATTAAAATTCAGGGAGTCTGAGGCAGCCACTATCCCATTATAAACACCCACAGACACAGTGAGCAAACACATACCACTAACCCCTTCCTGGCCACTTGCTCCAAGTCCGTTCCTTTTTTCCTTCCTGCACTCCATGCGCTGGTCCAGGCCCTGGTGCTCCTCCATGGAGGGTCCCAGCCTGGAAACAGTGGTTTGGCAGGAGCCGCAGGAGCAGAGAGGACTGTGAGACCACCCTTCCTGCCCCCAGTTAAGTGCTAGGCTCCTCAGTGCCCTAGCCAGTTGGCTGTGTGGAGAGCCTCTCTTGATTTCCATAAGGCAGGCCCCTTCCTCCAGCTATACCCTTCAGCTAGTTCATGCTCAGGAGTTGGAGAGATTTGATATCACACTGGGTCCTCCAGCTGAGGGACTCTTGGCAAGCCCACTTACATGCTATGGGATTGGTGATGATGTTGACCTCACTGAGTTCTGATTGACAACACAGGGCCCCTGACACCTGGCAAGCACTCAAAGGTGGAATGATGATTTCTTCCACCCTGATCCTGGGCTTGGAGGAGCGGGGTGTGGCAGGAGAGACAAAGTTGGGGAGCAGGTTACTGGACCTGAAGGAACTCTTCTACTGATTCTCAACCTTCCAGCTGCCCAGGGCTTTGGGTTTCTGTCTGCTTCCACTGGCTCATAACCATCTCTGAGGAAGGCACTCATGAGAGCCACATTTTACAGAGAGGGAACCTAAGTAACTTGACCAAGGCTACATTGCTAGAAGTGGTGGAACTGAGGTTCAAAGTCAGTATGGATTCCAAATCTAAACCTCCCATAACCCACGCCAGTAGGTGTTCATGGGTTGACAGGTTGCCTTCCTGGCACATCTTTACTAGGATCTCCTGGAAATGATGCTAAAGCCAATGGTTTTCACACTGTAGGTCCCTGGAGGGGACTGCAGGCTGTGATTTCTCACCGCCATCTAACAAATCAGGATGGCTCCATTTCTACTTACTTCCCCGCCTCCCCCCACCTTTTAAATCTTGGCCTTTGAAGTGTATAATGAGAAAAATGACTCTGCTGCTATAAGAAAAAAGATTGGGGTAAAAAAACAAAACAAAACAAAAAACTCCAACCCAAACCACCTGCTGTTAACTCTAAAAGAAATGATCCCACTGTGGTTCCAAGCCTCCTAATTCGTCTCTGGAGAGAGATTTGGGGATTACAGGGAAGACTCAGTGGGGCTCTGAGAGTCTTTCCCAGTATGTACTGGGCCACATGAACCAGCATCCAGTGGGAGGTAGAGAGCACTGGAGGTGTCAGAGCTAGCTGGGTGGCTTCTGTGTGGGACCGGCATGAGGACATGTGGAGTTCTATTCTGCTTTTAATATCAACAATGGGAGTGTGTTGGGTGCTACAGGACTATGCACTGTGCTACTCTGTGCTAAGCACTTGACCTGCATTCTCTCATTTAACCCTAACAAGCCCCTAAATGAGACATACAATTTTTTTGCCATTTTAGAGATAAGAGGCCTAAGGCTTGGAGACTTAAGGTGTCCAGCTCAAAGACTTAAAGTGGAAGTGGTGGAGGCAGACTGAAACCCAAGCTCCTAAACCAGGGACCGTACTTCCCTGGGGAGTGAACGGTTGGTGGGCCATTCCTCCAGGTGCTGTTGGGCCTGCTCACCTGGGTGCTGAGTTGTGGCCACTAGGTGGCAATAGAGCCTCGCAGGATCAAATAGTCCCTGGGATTTCAGTTAAGGCGAAGTCAGAGACTTCAAAGTCAGAGACTTCAAAGACTGCAGGGCAGCAGCTCCCCAACTCCTGGAGCACCATGGCCCCAACTCTCTCTTGCTCTGGGCTTCATGCCCCAGCACAGTGGGAATATGGGTTCTAGTGGGAGCCTGACCTGGGTTTGAATCTCAGCTCCGCCATTTACTGGTTTGTGTGCTTTAGGGCCAAAAACTTCACCTGATCATCATGTTTCTCATCCCTAGAACAGGAGTGATGACGCTTACCCTAGGGATTGTGGTGAGGAGCAAGTGAGACAAAGACCTTGGCAATGGATGGGACTATGGTAAATAAGACTCAGGGAGCATGTGTGATGGTCCAAAGAGAGCTCTCTTGTGGTGTTTGGCCAACCTTTGAACACTGAGCTATTTCACATGGAAACCCTGAGTTTCTAGTGCTCCTTGATTATCTGCATTCCCACGGGGCAGCATCTGCTGGGGCAGAGGTCAGCTGTCCCTTTGGACAAGGCCTGTGCTCCCCAGGCTACCACACTCCTCACACTCCCACGGAGACCTCAGTCCGCTTTCCCCAGGTTGGTTCCCTCACTTGGCCCCTTGGCCTCGCTGGTAGGAAATAGTGCCTGAAGTTCCTCTGACAAGTCTCAGAACTACAGAACAGTGCAGCCTGTTCCCATTCTGGGGCAGGCAGGCAGGGGCAAAGACAGGCTTTTCTGTGTATTTGCCCTGGAGCCTGGGGTCAGACCTTGAAGCACCAGCACTCCCCTGTGGCTATAGTTAGGCAGATGAATCAAACCAGGCTCCCACATAGAGGAGGCTCAGAATCCTGCTGCTCCAGACCTGTGGTTCCCTGCTGGGGGCACTGGTGGTTCATTCTCACTCTGGGGCTGTCCATGGGGCCTCAGTGGGCAGAATTTTGCAAGCTGCCAACTCCCCTGATTATTACCTTTGGTTTGGCACCCTGGCCCTGAGGCTAAGGAGGCCTTCCTAGGTTGCCAGGGGTCACCACAGTGATCCTGTGCCCTCTATTAACCCCAGTCCCACACAGTGTGGCTTCTGTGCATACTGATGGGCCTCCCCCAGCCCAGTGCCTTCCGGAAAGGCAACCTGTGGAAATGCTTGTCAGCTCAACGTTACCACTTCCTCCAGGGAGCCTTCCCTAGTCCTCCAAGCAGAAATGTCTGCTCCCATAGCATGCACCCGTATCTTCTGCAAGACCTATTTTATTCTGCCCATGTGACTATTGCTTGTTTACACACCTGCCTTCTTCCCTGGACTGTGTTTTGCTTAACTCTGGGTCCCCCACACTTAGTCCAGGACCTGGTCCATGCAAGGTGCCTGGGAGAGGTTTGCTGAGTGAAAGAGTGCACAACTGGGGCAAAGCCAGTGCTGCCACACAGAAGACTGGAAGCAAACCCATTTTAAATAATGGGATTTCTGGAGACTTGGGCCCTTCAGGATTGTGAGCTGAAGGGCACTAAGAGTCTGTCACTAGGCTTTGCCTGTGGGCATGGGCATACTTCACTGGGTTCCTCCTGTGGATAAAAGGAAGAGCCTGGGGTCTCCCCAGGGCCCCCTTATTAACCCTCAGCCGACTGACCCCCTGACAAGGGGAGAGAGTAGTTCCATAGGGGAAAGTAGTTCTCTGGGTTCCTATTTCACAACCTGGTTCAGACAGCAGAAAAGCATTCCAACATTCTTACCAACAACATCACCCTTTTACCAAACCACCCCCCCCCAGCAGCTAACATCAGTGTGAGGGAAGAGCTAGGCTCTGCTGGGATGGGCTCTGGACAGAGCCCAGCCCCCTCCCCAAGCCTGGCTGCCACCTTCTGTCCTTGACATGCTCATGTAAAGGCTCAATTTGCCAAGCACTTTCTCATCTGCCAACCCTCAATATCCCACCGGCCGGCCCCCCGCCCATCCTGCCCTCCTCTTGCAGAAGTATGTCCTATTATCCACAGTACACAGGGAAGGAGACTGAGGCAAGAGGTCGAATACCTTGTTCAAACCTGGATGTGTCTGATACCACAGGCTGTGTGACAGGCTGCCCCAGGCCCTGCACCCAGGCTCTCTGTCCACTTGGCCCCTGACCAGCGGCTCCAGAAACACAGATTTTGGGAGGCCCTGACTCCAGGGAACTCGTGAAGCCACTGGTGACAGCTCCTTCTCCTGGCATCTATTGTACCCAACTGTCCTAGCCTGGTCAGTGATCCCTCCACCCACCCCTGCTGTGAGTGAACCTCTGCTCTGGTCAAACCCCCTGTGTTTTCCCCTAGGCTTGCCGGTGATGTCCCCTCAGCCTGTTTGCCCACCTGTTCTCCTGCTCATATAAATTCTCCCTCTCATCAAGACCCAGCATAAATGGTTCCTTCTCCAGGAAGGCTTCCTGTGTGAGCTGGAAAGAATCAGGCTTGTGCAAAGAATCACCTGGAAGCTCCCTGAAACAGATGGCTGGGCCCTACCCCACTGCTTCTGTCAGTAGGTGTGGGGTGGGGTCTGAAAATGTGCCCATCTCACAAGTTCCTGGGTGCGTTGCTGCTGCCGCCCTGGCACCACACTTTGAGAACCACTGGTTTAAACCAATGGTTCTCGACTGGGTTTGTAGGTGCTGTTTTGGGGGTTTTCATGAGAGGAAGTGTGAAGGAAGAAGCTTGGCTCTCTCCAGCCCCTGCAGGACAGTTTTGCTTCTGTGTGTTTAATATTCTTGAGTTCAATAGAAAAGTTTTGATTGAATAAATGATTTAGTCTGAAAACTGCTGCTCTTCCCCAATCCTAACCAATGTGCTCCTGCTTGCAGAGGGGAAAGGCTGGCCTCGGGATGCGGGCCCTTCTCACGCACGGTGCTCTCCCTCCAAGGAATGGCTCTCCTGCCTCGGGCAGTTTTATGTGATTTTTAGGTGTAACACAAACATTTCTCATCTCAATGGTTATTTTTATAATTATTACCAAATATTTATGACTAAAATGATTTTTTGTGTTTAGTACTTATTCCGCTGAGAAGTAGAAACAAATCTAACGTTGAGCTAGCATATCTGTGATTTCACAGACGATATTCCTTGAGATGAAGCTCAGGGTAGAGAGTGAGCACAGTTAAAGCCTATGTAAGGTAACCTGCTAAGTAACAGTATAGCTGACATACCATATTTTTACAAGCTTTTTGTAAAAATCAGGGCGATTGTTGGAAAGACTGAAGTTTAGGAAAAACCACCCTTCAGAACAGTTTGAAAGTCACTTAAGGAATAGTCCTGCTCCCTCGGTGCTCTGGAATTTCTTCCCCTTGAGTTGCATGCTAATCTCCCCCTGTTTTCTTTCTTAAACTAATAAAAGATGAGGATGACATTTTGAAAAGGGCACCTCATTAAGCAGCCTCATCCCCATTGGCACACACAGCTCTGCACGGTAGCCAGCTGGCCATTTATCTTATGGTAATGAGGTGTCATCTCCCTGTGGGGTCAGCCTTCATCTCCTGCCTCTTCCTCCAGCACCGCCCCTCTCCCTCCCACCAGCCGCTCTGAGTGTGTGTGCGTGGAGGGCAGCAGGGAGAAGAGGCATCAGAGTGGCCCTGGCATCTTCTCTCAGGGCAGGAAGCAGGAGGGAAGACGCAGGACCCGTGTGCGTTGGCGGGAGGGGCTGTGGTCCTTACCTGTACACTGTGGTTGGTGGGGAGCTCAGACTGTCATAGACGAGCCTCACGTGGCCCTGGTACAGCTCCAGCGCGAGGGGGTCATTGTCTCCCTTGTACAGAAGGATGCCGTTGTCCTTGTCAGTGGCCACCTGGAGAGGCATGTGGGTTAGGGCTCCCCTGAAGACTAGCCTCCCCAACCCCCCCTCACAGAGACCTCTTCCGGGAGGCATCTTCTGAATGGACCCCAGATCTGAGTTCATGTCCCTATTTTTTCCTTTGTCTGGTCTGGAAATTGCTAGGAGGGCATATACTTCTACTCCAGCAAATGCTGATGGTGCAATTCAATTCAATAACTATTTAATGAGCACCCACTGTGAGCCACTTTGTTTATGTATACACTTATAAGATAAATATAACACACACACTATTTTAGTGTGCATGTGTGTGTGTGTGTGTATCAGGAACCCCAAGCTCTACTCTGGCCTCTCTCACCGGCATACAATGTAATCCCACCCAAATCCTTGCCCCTCTCAAGGCCTCCGCCTCTCTGTATAATCTCAATCATAAACAAAATGCTAACAATTACCATTTCATTCGGTGTTTACTATGAACTAGGCGCTGTGTTAAGAGTCATCTGGGGAATTAAAAAAAAAAAATCATTGTCTAGGCTTCACCCCAAACCAACTACATATGACTCTCAAGGTGGGGGAGGGGGCAGGCAAAGACAATTTTAGGCATTCTCCAGGTGATTCTAATGTGTTGCCAAGGCTGAGAGACACTGGTTTCAGAAGTTGCTGCCCAGAGGGCACACCCCGCTGCAGGGCTGGGGTTCTCTGACTAGCCTGTCCACTTCCATTGCCCAGCACAAGTGCAGCTTAAAGGAATGGATGTGGAGCAGGTGGTCTGATGGACCCTCTGGATGTCTGGGGCACAGGTGCTGCTCTGGTTAGCTGGGACCCAACATTTAGGTCCCTGGGTGGGTGGGATGCAGGGAGGAAGGCAGGAGGGCAATGAGGAGGACCCAGGAGGGGCTGACACACCCAGAGCTTCCTTCTTGTGTGTGTGTGTGTGTGTGTGTGTGTGTGTGAGTGTGTGTGTGTGAGTGTGTGTTCAGGGTCAACGCTCATCTCAGACGCCTGCCCACTGGACTGGAGGCTCCACAAGGTGAGGCAGTTTGAGCTTTCTGTGCATTTCTGCAGCCCCAGTACCTGCAATGGTGCCTGGCATGCAGAGGCATGCAACAGATCCGTGTTGAACAAGTATTTTCACCATAAGCTTAAAGCTAGAGTGTCCATGAGCAGAAGGAGAGCAGGGCCGTAGTTAGTGCCATGTGGCAGGGGCCACTCACTGGGCTGCATCCTCCAGCTGTGTCTCTGGGGTCTTCCTCCCCAGAAAGCCTAGGGGCCAGGGCCTGCTCTTTCTCAGCCATATACCATCCTTGCTCCACCCTTCCCAGTTGCATTTGGGTCACCCAGAAATGCATTTTGGAATAACTTTGCTCAGGTCCACAGGTAAGGAACCTGAAAGAAGTTAGCTGGAAAAGAATTTGGTTTCTACTAAGTGGTTTTTCATTCCCCGAAAAAGGCCCTGCTTGTTTGTGCCTCTGGGCCTTTGTACATGGTGATGTCTCAGGCTAGATGGCATCCCCTCTTCATCCTGCTCTGCCAGCCCCTCATTCTTCTATCCTTCTCCAGGCAAACTCCTACTCATCCTTGAGATCTCAGTTTAGTTACCACTGCCTCTGGGGAGCCTATCCCATTCTTTTCAGCGGGCGAAGGAGCTCCGTCCCACCTATGTGCTCCCACAACACCCAGAGTTGCCACTGGCCCCTCTGCTTGTCAACTTCCCCTGGGCAAGGGGCTCTGTCTTGTCCATCACTGAATCCCCATTGTTAGCACAGTGTCTGACATGTAATATTTGAGTGAATATTTTCTAGATAAATGAATGGAAAAGGCTGCACGTGGGGACTGCTATTAGCAGTGAAAGCCAGTCAAGAGTTGTCTGTAGAACAACAGCTGTTCTCAGAACAACTGGAGCTTGGGGGGCACATAGGGGCGGGGCGCACCTGCAGGGAGATGTTGGCCTGGGGCCGGACCTTGGCGGAGGCTAGTTCCACGTAGGAGTCTTTGCCCACAAAGTTGACAGTGATGAGTTTCTCGCACCTCGGGCCGGCGAAGCCTGGGGGGCAGCGACAGGTCGGCTCCTGCTGTACCACGATGCACTGGGCCCCGTTCTGGCACTCATACTGGTCACAGGGACTGGTCTGAAGCAGGACCATGGGTGGGGGGTGCTCACAGAGGAGCCCGCTGTGGGGAGGGGAGAGGAGGGACGGAGGAGGGATGAGGAAAGAACAGTGTGGGGAGACAATCATAGTTATTTGGGCCAAAGAGCCACCAGCAGAGAGAGGGAAGAAAGATGGTAACTGGGACTTGTTCCAGTCCTACCACCAACTGGGGCAAGCCTTTTCCTTCTCTAAGCCCCAGTTTCCCCATTTTTAAAATAATAGGGTTGCATGAGAGTGCTGGTCCCCAAGTTTCAGTGTCATCAGAAACATCTGGATGAATTTGTTAAAAGCCCAGATTCTCATCCATCCATAGATGAGTGGATACACAAAATGTGGCACATGCATACGATGGGATATTATTCAGCCTTAAAAAGGGAGGACATTCTGACACCTGTTATGACATGGATGAACCCTGAGGACATTATGCCGAGTGAAATAAAGCAGTCACAAAAACACAAATACTGTGTGGCTCCACTTTTATGAGGCACTTAGAGCGGTCAAATTTATAGGGTCAGAAAGTAGAATGGTGGCTGCCAGGGGCCATAGGGAGGGGGAATGGGGAGTTAGTGTTTAATGGAGACAGAGTTTCAGTTTTGCAAGATTAAAAAAGTTCTGGAGATGGATGGTGGTATTGGCTGCACAATAATGGAAGTGCACTTAATGCCTCTGAACCGTACATGGAAAAATGGTTAAGATGGTAAATCTTATGTTATGTATATCTTACCACAATTTAAAAACATTAAAAAAAAAAGTGCAGATTTCTAGCCCCTTCTTTCCGCCCCCATTCTAATTTAGTAGCTCTGGGGTGGGCCTCAGGAATTTATATGTTCCCAAGCCTCAACATGGTCTCAATCAGGCTTTGGAAAAACTGGCCTTTTCAGAGTGGTTCCTTCTCAGAGTCTATGACCAAGGCTCATTTGCGTAGTTGGATTTATGTCATGCAGCAAGTACTGATGTACATGGAATTGTCCCCAGGCCGCCCCCTCACCCGCCACTTCAGGTCTGGTCCTTGCCTCCCCTCCAGTGCCCCCTACACCCTTCCCTTCCAGGCAGTGTAGGTGTGAGGGCTGGAACCCAGTTTCTCCTTGTATATACCCCATGGACCTCTCCTGATCCCCTGGTCAGTGCTTCCCATCCCCTCCTTCTCTTCTGGCTTCAGTGATTCCAGTGACTAACCCCAAGCTCTCCTATTTGCCTCCATTTTTTACCATTAGGGCACAAGGTTTTTGTTCTCCAGCCTAAAAATAAGATTCCTGCCAGTGTGGCCATGTGGCTACCCCTACCCTGTAAGCTGAGCTCCAAGATGGTAGCATCTTCCATTAGAAGGAATCATGCCCAAGCTTGACATTATGTGAGCTGGACCCTAAGTCCAACTCCCACATGGGTGCCCTGGATGGCTCTTCTGTCTATAACACGGGGTTGACAACATCTGGTCTTTGACAAGGAAGGACTGACCTTCCAAGGAGACTCAGGAGGCCCAGGGCTAGGGCTACCTGGGCATGGGTGAGCCTGCCTTAGCTCACCAGTCCCCAGCCTGCAGGCCCCTTCCCGAGGGGCCCCTCCACCATACCTGAAGCCCTGGGGGCAGATGCATGTGTAGCTGTTGACTGCATCCACGCACTGGGCCCCGTGGCGGCACCTGTGGTTCACGCAGTCATCATTGTCCACCTCGCAGAGCTTCCCGCTGTAGCCAGGGGGACATTCACACCTGGAACACAGCAGAGCAAGGCTGTCCATGTGCCGGGCTGGCTTCTAGGTGGCCCTGTGTCGTCTCTGTCTACCCATGTTCCTAAGTCCCTCTCAGCTCTTGAGGACTCTCCAAAGCCTGGCCCACAGTTGGTTTCACTGGCCATCCATGGGCTCTGGGTCCCTGCAAGTTGACGTTTGCTTGCTTCATGTGGTGACTCCTGTTTTCAGGAGTGGGTGGTGGGGCTGCTGATGTGCTGCTCCTCAGGGAAGATGATGGGAACTGCAGCACCCTCTCTCTGCCCCCACCGGCCCTGCTGGCCCAGGTGCACACCCGAGAGGTGCACCTCACGTGGGGCCTCCCTGAGCATGGCCCGGAACACGCATCCCTGGGCTCCTCCGCCTGGGTGACACTGTGCCAAAGTTCCAGCAAGAAACAGACCTGAAGGCACCGTGTTACCTACGGGCACAGGTGGACACAAACACTTCCTGGCTCTTCTGCCTCCTGCAGGCTGGAGCCTGCGCACCTCTCTGGGCCCACCCACTGAATTCTACTGGCCAGAATAGAAATAATAACTACAGCAGAGGCAGAGGAGGAAGGTGGGACAGGTGGCCAAGATGGAGAGGGAAGCAAGACCTCTGAATACACAGGGGACAGAGGAGACTGACAGGGGAAGCATCGGGACAAAGGCATGGTCCTCCCTCCCCCCTCTCCTTGCTCCTGCCCCGCCTTGCTTCTCTCCCTGCAGTTGTGGATAGAGTGGAATCATAAGTGGATCCTGGCATTGCTGGGGTTGGTTGGCAGAGCATAGTTTGTGCTGTGGATTCATGACTAGGTAGACACTTGGTGGGTGGGGTATCCCTGGAGAAGGACAAGTTCTAGAATCAGAGGACTTACTGATCCTGCATTCAGAACTGATACCTGCTAAGATCTGACCTGTTCATCTTTATTTTTTTTTAATGTTTACTTTTTTTTTTTTGAAAGAGAGAGAGAAAGAGAGACAGTACAAGCGGGGGGAGGGGCAGAGAGAGAGGGAGACACAGAATCCGAAGCAGGCTCCAGGCTCTGAGCTGTCAGCACAGAGCCTGACATGGCACTTGAACTCATGAACCGCGAGATTGTGACCTGAGTTGAGGTCAGACGCTTAACCGACTGAGCCACCCAGGCGCCCCTCACCTTTACTTATTTGAAGGGTAAATTTGAAATACGTGACCTACTGCTGCACCACAAGGTGTGAACTTTCATGTCAGAGCCCACACTCCACCCTAGTCTTTTAAAGAAACAGATTGGGGGCACCTGGGTGGCTTAGTCGGTTAAGCGTCCAACTTCGGCTTAGGTCATGATCTCGCAGTTTGTGAGTTGGAGCCGTGCTGATAGCTCAGAGCCTGGAGCCTGCTTCAGATTCTGTGTCTCCTTCTCCCTCTCTCGCTGCTCCCCTGCTCATGCTCTGACTCTCTCTGATTTTCAACAATAAATAAACATTAAAAAAAATTAAAGAAACAGATTGGGCAAGGTTTTGTCAGGGCATGTGGTCAATACACTCTGCTAGTGGTAAGCCTGGCCCCTGTAGGCATTTGTCTTTGTGTCTCCTGAATTCTAAGTACCTGCAGAGCAACTCAAGCCTTATGAGCCTCTCCAAGGCAACAATTGCCGCTCAGTGCTTGCAGGGTAAAATCTAGCCTGTTAGGCATGGAGTCAAGGTGGCTGAGGAGGTCTTCATGAGGAATCAGGGAAGACCTGGTTCCTCGCAGACACAGATATGCAGAAGGAGCAACGGAGGTGTGGAGACTGTCAATGCTATAGCCCTCTTCACACCCTTGCTTTTCAAACAAAGCCCCTGGGCATTCTGTGAACGTACAGCTTCTGATCTGGGAGTTTGGGTGGGGTCTGGGAATTAGCACTCCCAACAAGCTGCCCTGTGATGCTGCTGGTTCCTGCACCTCCCTCCCAAAGCAAGGATCTACCCTACATTTCTTCATCTGCTAAAGAGAAGCGTCTGCTGGTACAACCTGCCTTCCCTGGTGTTCTCAAATGTTCTCCCCTTACCTTTCCTCGAAAGTGTAAGGCTTATACGATTTTGTTATGTATATGACCTATTGATTCTGGACAAGGGGGGTGTAACCAAGTGATGTGCTTGGTTCCAGGACTTTGGGAGTCTCCAGAGTCAGGTCAGGATTGGCTTGCAGCCCCAGCTGTTTCCGTGTGTGCGTGCACAGGGAGCTTGCTTCACCTCGCCGTGCCTCAGCCCCTACCCAGAAAGCAGACCGCTGTTTCTACAGCCTAAGATTGTGGAGTGTTACAGGAGATAGGCCAGTGTGCCTGACACAGAGTAAGTCTTCAGTGCATGTTAATCATCGTGATCTGTGTTTTTGTCATTGTCACTTTCAGTGTTCATGGGAGTGTTCTTCATTATTGTCAGGGTTTTGGTATATTATGATTTCAGTGTTTATATCACGGATAGTTATACAGTTTTATCTGTTATGTTGCGTGGCAGCCTCATTAAAACATACATAAGGAAATCTTCAAGGATAAACATCTTCAAACTTGGGCAAAGGTTGCACCAACTGACTGTCTCTTGTTACTGTCCCTGCAGCCTGCCTTGGGATGTAGGTGATGAGAGGGGAGGGGAGCTGAGGGGGATAAAATTAGGAAATGTTTCATTGGGAGAAGGGATTTTTTTTACCTAAATGTATTTTAATAAAACAAAATTCACATTATTGAGCTGGCCTGTAGACCTCCTCAGGATTCTAGGAGACACTGTGCATAAATACATTATCTCAAGAATATGAAAGCAAGACTGGTTTCCTTCTACATTCTATATTCTTTCTATTCTGTATCCTATTCTGTATTCCCCTAGAACTCAAGTAGAGTGAGGTTTCTAGGGAGAAGTACCAGAGGATCATGATCTCTGGCCCTGCTTATGTCTCTGGTCCCAAGCTCCTCACACCCCGACCCCAGACCTATACCCTGGACCACTTCTGACCAGTTTTCATGCTCACTGTGCTCTGTCAGGCCAGCATCCGCTGAGCTTGAAGAATGCCACTGATCTCCTTTCCAGCTATGGATACTCTACCACTTCTTCACAGCTCAGATGCCTGGTCACTATTGTTGCCCCTTGTAGGCACGCCCAAAGCATGCTGCTGGTCAGTGCAGCCTGCTGTGCCTTGGGTTCAAGTTTGTGTTCCATGCATCTCTTCTCCCCCCCTTCACCTCTTCCTTCAGTTAAAGAGCAGCCCTGAGTTGAAGTCAAATCTGAGAGTGGGAAAATGGGGTTGAGAGGCATCCCTCACCCTTACTTATACTCTAGTAGCGCAACTGCCTAAGAGCCCACCTAACCCCTCTCAGAGGGGACCAGGGCAGATAAGGGAGATTTGAATGACGGTTCATGCATGGCAACACTGAAGTTTCCTTTGTTCTCAGCAAAACCAGAGCCCCTAACATGCCTCTTGCATTTTCCCTGGTGATGAACTCCAGACTTGAGATGTCAAAATAGGAAAGGAAAACACCAGACAAGACATGCTCATGTCCCCCTCTCACCTGCACCTACTCTAGATTCTTCTCCCACTGGTGGGGCCCTCCCTCCCTTTCTCAGCTCATTCAAATCTCACCCATCCTTTGATGTTAATGTCACAGCTCACCTCCTAAAGTATGTGGAGGGCTTCTCTTTGCTTCAGCAGGTTCTTCCCTCCCCTCCTCAACACCCCGGCAGCACTCAGAGCCAGAGTTGAGGGCTCCAGAAATTTCTAAACATTTGTTTTGTGTCAAATCCCACCCCCGCACCGCCCCCAAGTCCATGTCAAGGGCCTTGAAAGGGAGGGAATCAAAAACCTCTTATAGTACCCACTACACTCACCACAATGAGAATTTGAGGACTGAAGGGTTGGCTCACCAGGGACAACAACTAGGACCCATCATTCTTAGATTCTAGGATCCTAAGAGTTCTCAAGTTCAAGTCTTAGAGATTTATGAATCTAAGAGTCCTAAGATTCTGTGACTTTATGATGTCACTAGTCTCAAGCTTTCTAAAATCCTTGTTTTCCATAGAGTGCTAAGTTTTGCAGTATAGCATCATAGTCTCAAAACCCCCGGAATCTGGGAACTCTCTGCCTTATGACTGAAAGCTAGACAGACTCAAACTGATGACAGATCCTGGAGACATTTTAGACCCAGACCATGAGCTTCATCCCTCAGAGGCTGAAGAGGCTACTGGATGAAATCCTGGTCAGGATTCTCATTAAAGACTTCTCAGCATAGGCATCGAGCTTCAGACCCACATCCCTCATCTTTAGGGTGACTCTGTAGAGTCACTTCAGGTATCTTTGCTGAAGGCTCATCTGAGGTTTCCCCAGCTGCTCTGGTCTTTGCCTGCTCCCCCAAACTCTCTGGTGCTAGAAGCTTCCACCCACCCTTCAGTGTTGGACTGAGCCTGTTGGAGATGAGGGGAAGCAACTGTGTGTGCAAAGCAGCTTTGGGAGAGTGTTTAGGGGAGACTATTTTGGCTCCCTGGGATGTCCCTACTGATATCAGAAAATCCCAGGACTCAAGGGTCTCAGGGTTTTCTCTAGAAGAGGCAATGGCACATGCTTTCATGAAGGAGAATGGAGGGAAGAAGTAGGGACAGAGCCCAGGAGTGATTTCCCGGGGGTGTTGTTTGAGTCTCAGGCTCTGGAACTGGTGCCTTCTCCTGAGGCAAATTCTTTTTCCACCCTTAGAATTGTTCCTGGAATCCCCTAGCTGCTATAGGCTCTGCTGCTTACCACAGAGACAGCTCCACAAATGGCTGTGGCTGCTGAACTGAGTCAGTGCTCACTCTCCCCGACCCCCTAACATACACAGATGCATAAACTGGCAAACTTGCTGGAGCCACAGAGGGCACAACACTGGGAAGGATGCACACAAGGAAGGTGACCAACTAACCTTCGGACTCAGCTTCATCAGTGGGATTGTTCTACCATATTAGCTCTGGAAAGAAAGCTATGCTGGTGTGCGGGGGTAGGGGCAGAAGTGGGGAGAGTAGGAAGGAGAGGTATAAAGGAAAGAGGGATATCTTTATTTCTATATATCTATCAACACACACAGAGAGAGACTTACAAAGAGAGGTAATCACAAAGAGACAGAGGCACGTGCATAGAGACAGTGAGACAGAGAATTAGACTATGACTAATCAGAGACACAGAGAAGCACATGGTAATGTACAAGCAATAGGCAGAGAGAGAGATCGGGAGAAGGAAGGAGAAGGAGAATGGAAAGGGACCAATTTGAGGCAGAGTCCTCAGGAGCCTGTGCTGCTGGGGACACAAAGCCAAGCCTCACCTGAATCCTTTGTCCAGGGAGATGCACTTGGCCTCATGCTGACAGAGGTTCATCCCGGGCACGCAGTGGTCAATCACCTCGTCGCACAGCTCACCTGGTGGGGGTGGGTAGAAAGCTCAGGGACCTGGGAGGACCTGGGGGATACCCTGACTAGAAGGTCAGGTCCAACCAGCCCCCTGTCGGGAGGTCATGGATCTCAGGCACCCTGCATTTGCTCTCTCGATGTATCCTTTCTGCTGTACCTCTTTTTCAGTCTCCCTAGTGGTAACAATTGGCAGGTTCTGGGATTTTCCCTGGGCACTGTCATAGCACCATCATTGGGCTGTTTCACCTGACCATTAAGGGGCTGCTGCAGCTGAAACTGTAGGACATCAGCCCCTGACTTTGGGCTGTGTTTAGTTGTTTTTTTCATTCCCCATCAATTTACTAAGCACCTCTTGTGTGGTAGACACTGTGATGGGTACTAGGGACACAACAGTGACCAGGTCTTGTCTTCCCCCTAGCCTAGTGGGGGAGACCTATAAATCAGTAGGTGACTGTAACATAGAGATGTGTGACCACAGGGATAAACTCTGTGGAAGCCCAGAGGCTTCCTGGAGGAGTGGACATGGCTTAGCAGCACAGTGCACCTGCTGTAGATAAGTAAGCACCCTGGATTTTCTCAAAGAAGAAAATATGAAAGGAATTTAATGTTTAGGTCTCTGAATGCACTCCCTTTGAAATTCATCGTGCCAAGAAATGAAGAATGGGTCATAAATACCCAGGGAGGTCCTTGCATGTCCAAACTCCCCAAAGCTCATGCCATCGGAGATGTGTTTTGGGAATGTGGAGGGAAGTGAGACAGGATGGCAGGGGTGAGGGCAGTGGCAGATGCACCCCTGAGCTTTGGGTTCCCTTAAATTCCACCTGGCCAGGTGGACAGTGATATGAGAGAGGAAAGTTTCACCCATGGAATTTCTCTCAGAGGTCGGGGTGGGAATAGGGGCAGAGAAGGCTGCAGGGACAGGGCAGAGGAAGGTCCTGAGGGTGGCTGGGGAGGAGATGAATGACATCCACAGCCCCAGAGTCTGTTCTCTGCTGTGGTGGGGACAAGCCCACCCCGACCCTGTCCTCACTTTGCCAGCCTCTCAAGACCACAGAGGGCACTGTGTTCTTTATAAGCCTTTTCCTCCTCCTCACTTCCTGGAGACACCCAGAGAGGCACACAGGTGTTTGTGTGGGACTGGCAACATTTTCTGGGACAGAGAAAACCATGACAACCCATTCTCGGGCAGAGGTGCACTTCAGTCACCTGCAGACACAGGCTAGGCTATTCCACTGGGGCAGGAAACCACCTCAACAAGTGTGTCCTCAGTCCCCCTTCCACTGCCCATTTGCCCCAAAGCCTATTCTGAGTCCCTTTGCCTTCTTTTTTTAACTGCTGAGATTTTTACTGTCTCTCTTCTGGCAGTGAGCAGATCCTTCCGGACCAATGATTTGGCCCTACATGACCCCTCCTCTCATCTTAGGTAGACCAGATGCCCCTTGTGGCCGGAGGGTATACTTTAGACTTCTTGGTATCCCTGTTAGTTAATTCAGTGCTCTGTATACAGTAGGAGCATAATAAGTGTTGCCTCTTGCTACTTTAACTCTTGGCTACAACTCCTCTCTGCAAAGATGGAAGGTATAAGGGGTAAGGGAAGTAGACCTTCAGCAGATTTCCCTGCACTTTCCCCAAGCGTAAAGCCTTCTCTGGGACCCCAAGAGGCGAGGAGTAAGCAGAGCAGGTGGTTTTCTCAGTTGGTCTTGGCACGCTCCACCACAGTCCCAAGAATGTGCTTGGGGAATACATGGCTAATGGGCTTGAGGTCTGTGTCAGCCACAGGACCCTGAGGAGCAATGGGGGCTAGCTGGCTTCCTTCTCTGTAGGCTTCTAATCAGCATCTGTATATCCCATCCCCTACCTCACTCTTGACATCATGCCAGGTGCCAGCAGGGTAGGGTGTGGCAGTCCCTGGGTTGCATGGTCCTTATTTTCATCCTCACCTTAGGTTGGTATTTCCTAAAATATGTTTCTTGCAACACAGGATGTCCGGGGTTGGGAAGGAGTTTGGGGGTAGGGTAGGAGGGAAGTTCTGACTTAAAATAAATTTGAAACTTACTGGGTTAAATGAAGTTAAATAGCATTGTTTCAAACAGGAATTGTGAAAACCTTTAATAGGCTCATTTGTATCACGTGGAAGAGAGCTAGTATTACATACAGCGTTTCCCCAACTTTTTGTTTATGGAGCCTTTTTCCTCAAAGAACTCATGGAATTCCATTTTGGGATATGCCACTTTAGGTGGATCCTATAACAAAGGAGGTTGTGCTTGCACCACTGAGGTGCATTTTGCTTCATAATCTAGTGGTATATTTAATTGTCCTCATGAGGAGCTGTTAATATAGGAAATAAAGGTGTTGTGTTTTGGGGGTGGGTGGGTAGGATGATTATCCTGAGGAACAACCTGTGGGGAGCCTTCTTTTATTCCCCAGCTGGGTTAGGTTCATCCTCTGTGACCCCACGACCCCCCAGGCTTCCAGGTGTTATAGTCTCGTTCTACTGAATACATGTCTCTCTCTACTTGACAATGAGCCTTCTGATCAGAGGGGACTTTGTCTTGGTCATTTTTGTGTCTCCAGTTCCTAGCTGGAAAGTGTCTGGAAAGTAAATTTCTAGAGAAAGCAGACTAGAACTGAATGAAGATTAAATGTAATGTAAGCCCCTCTCACTAGCTTCAATTGCCACTGGGTCTCCAGTTCCTGGAGGAGGGGAAGGCTAATGGAATGGATAGCAAACTTGCCCTGGGGACCTGTCTCAAAGTAGGGAGGAGCTAGAGACGTGCAGGGTTGGGGCAGGTGGTGAGGGTGGACAAGCAAACAGAGAGGGCCTCTGGGAAGCCCGTCATGGCACAGCACCACGTTTTGGGGATTCACATCTCTGTCCACAGGGGAGTGGGTGCAGGCCCTGAAAACTAAGATAACAGCATTCCTTAGTGCATGACACCTGGCCTGCCACCATGCACAGGCACAAGGGGACCTTACCTGTGTAGTTAGGAGGGCAGACGCACACGTAGTTGTTGACCCCATCCACACAGGTGGCATTGTTCTCACAGTCGTTGTCCTCGCAATCATCTGGATTGATCTCACACCGCTGCCCCTCAAAGCCCAGCGGGCAGGAGCAGCTTTGGGGGTGTGTGGGGTGGTGAAGAAGGGGAGCCAGGGAATAAGGAGTGTTGGGTGGGGTTGGAGTGGCAGAAAAGAATGTTGGGGGGATATAATTAGTCAGGTTTCTCTCTGGATGGAGGTCCGAGGCAGCACTCTGGATACTTGAAGCCTTGGGGTCCTGAGCAGGAAGACCCTCAGGAGCCCGAGAGGTCATTTCATCTAGACCCCTATCTCTGGGCAGAATTCCATCTCCCTGGCCGTGGATGGCTGCGTTAGCTCTGGGGAGTTCTCACCAGCAATGCCCCCTCACCATCCCCCCAGCTGGAAGTGCGACTTTAAATTCCTCCAGCTGTCTTCCTTCCCCTCTTCTCCGGGGAGTGGTTTGTAGACAAAGGGATAAAGGGCATAACAAACACCCCCCTTTGAGCGACTTCCTACTCCAGGAAAGCCTCTCTACCTTGAACAGGAATAGGACAAAGTGGCCAAGATCAGGATCTGCAGCTGAGAGTTTCTTGGGAATGAAGTCTGAGTCTGCCACTTCCTAGGTATTCGATCTTAGGAAAATTAAATTCTGTGTCTCAGTTTCCACATCTATGGACTAGGGTAATATCATTTACCTCCAGGTTGGTTGTGGAGAATAAAAGAAGATTATATAAGTAAAAGGCTTAGGAGGAGAACTAGTACATAGAAAAGACTCAGAATGTGTTAGCTTCAGTTCTAGATGACTTCCACACTCAGCCTCCTTAACCTTTCTCAGAGATGCCATTGTTCCCTCCAGCTTCTTCCAGATAAGGGGATGGGGTGGGAGGATCTGGAGAGCTACAGCTCTTAGATACAAACCTCAAACTTCCTGCATCCTCTGCCCAACCCTGGCCACACCCCAGGATTAGGCCTGCAAACTAAGTCAGGATAGATAAAGCTGAGCAGATGAGAAGGGGCCAGGGGAGTTTAGGAAGGGGCACGCGGGAGACAAATGCTGACTAAATGAGCTGCAGGCACTTACTTACTCCCTCTGTGGCCCAGCCCCCTGGTCAGGGATTTACACCCCATTCACGAACATACGTTCCAGCTTCGGGCCCAGAATTCCAGGCCTCTCTCTGTTTTACAGATTCCTCCGATTTGGGATTTAGCTGTAAAACTAAACTAATAGGAAGTGGATTTCTGGAATCTTACTTAACCTCCTTTCCTCTACAACCTGAAAACCATGTCACATTTTCTTTTCTTTTTTTTTTTAAAGTTTTTAAATTTATTTTGAGAGAAAGAACAAGCAGGGGAGGGGCAGAAAGAGTGGGGGACAGAGGATCAAAGCAGGCTCTGTGCTGACAGCAGAGAGCCCAATTCAGGGTTCGAACTAAGGAACCATGAGGTCACGAGCTGAGCCAAAGTTGGGCACTTAACTGACTGAGCCACCCAGGTGCCCACCATGTCATGTTTTCTACAAAAGGTTCTTCGGTCTGAGCTCTTGGGGTGGAGCAAAATGATGTATTTCTTTTTTCTAGGAGGGACCCTGGAAGTTCAGGAAAAGCGATTTCTTCAGAGCTGGACGGACAGTAGGTTTTTAAGGGTCTGAAACCATAGTGTTGTCTATTTTCCTGAAAGGAGTTACTCTGGCTGTCCCCAAAGTCTTAGGGTTGCATGAAAGTGGGATGTAGATGGCTCTTAGGGGTTGGGTTGCTCATGGAGTAGACAGAGGGAGGGAAGGAGACTAAAGTCTCCTCTGCCCTCCCTGGAAACCTTGGCTGGGGGTTGTCAAGGAGACTCCAGGGGCACCCTGTGAGCTGTGGGGGCATCTTAGTCTCCTGCCCGGCCAGCTCTGCCAGTCTTTGCTCTTTTTGTGATCAGATAATGCATCAAGATGAGCAAAGCATCTGATGAAGAGGTAGGTGAAACTTCCAAAATTATCACTCACAAGACATGTTATGGGTTGAATTGTGTCCCCTCAAAAAGGTATCTGGAAGTCTTAACCCCCAGCACCTCAGAATGTGACCTTATTTGGAAATAAGGTCCTTGCAGATGTCGTTTCTGATGAGGTTATACTGGAGTAGGGTGGGCCCCAGATCTACTGCCATCCTTGTAAGATGGCCATGTGGAGACAGAGACACAGGGTGAATGCCACATGAGGATGAAGGCTGCAGTGAGGAAGGCCCGAGATCACTAGCCACCACCAGAAGCTAGGAAGGGGCAAGGAAGGACCTTCCCCTACAGGTTTGAAAGCCAGTGTGGCTCTGCTGACACCTTGCGTTTGGACTTCTGGCTTCTAGAAATGTGAGGGAATACATTTCTGTTGGTCCCAGCCGCCCTGGTGCACTGCTTGGTTATGGCAGCCCCAGCAAACGGACACAGGAGGGAAAAAGGGAGCAAAGCTTCCCTGATAGGTGTCCCTCCCTTTGCCAACCTATCAGGTGCTAACCTAGTGACGGGGAGTGCTCCTGCCCCTTGGCAGGCCCACACAAACTATGCTTTCCCCAGCATGTGGGCCTCACTGCTTTAATCCTCTACCCCATTTCCCTAATCCTATAGATTTGGGCCCTTTCCCTTGAAAATTAAATTCTAAAAGTATTTCCAGTTCATTCAAATCTCAACAATGGAAGGTGGAAACCAGGAAGGATCCTTCTGCTCACCTGCAGTTCCAGAGACGAAGAGAGATACCCCACAAAGAGACAGAGAGTGGGGCACATGCAGAGGGGGACAGGGAGGGGAGAGACAGTCGCCTGCAGGGGGCACTCCTCACTCTTGCAGACCTCTATTTCTGGGCAGGGTGGGCAGAGCCAGGCTTTTACCCTGGAGGTGTGTTTCTTGGCTGGGGCCATGTGGCCACCTCTGTGAAATTTCTGTGTGGTTTCTCCTTAACCCTGCTCCCAGCGAGAAGGTGGGAGTGGGTGGTTTGGCCGACTCCAGGCAGGAAAGCAAAACTGGCCTTGAATTTATTTCACGTTTTAAGAGCCAGAGTTTGATGGGGCTGGCTTGGCAGGTGGACACGGGGGCAGGCTGGGCTCTGTCGGAAGAACTAGGGCCCAGAACCTGATTTCTTTCACAGACGGCACAGCAGCCCCTCCTTCCCCCCACCCAGAGTGCCTTTGCTACTTGTTTGCAACCTGTGCTCTAAGACATCCACACACAGCTCTGCACTGGGTGCCCCTGCTTTACTGCCTGACCCACTCGCTCACTGGGGTGCTAAAGGAACCAGTTTCCACAGGTCTGTTTTTGCCAGGGCCACGGGCCGGCAAGCTGGGCACGTGAAAGCAGCTGGGAAGGGGGGGAAGCAGGAAGGGAGCCTGAGGTTTGGCAGAGGCCTCGAAAGTCCACCTAATTGACAGGGATGGGGAAAACTTAAGTGGCTTCTATCCCTTTTTCTTCCTGAGCTCTGAATTCCTGGGAGGAAAGCAGTGGGGTTGGAAGATCCAGGAATGTGTCAGGATATGCGACCTAGAGCAAGTAAATCTCTGTGCCTCAGTTTCCTCATCTGTTAAGTGGGGATAGTACCAGCTTGCAGTGGGTAGGCTCATTGTGAGCATTTAAATTAGAGGCTGCACGGCTAGTTCGTGCCTGGCACATGATGAACATGTAGTCAATATCACCTATGATCATTGTTTTTAGCACACAGGAAACAGAGGTGGAATTGCCATGCCTCGGGGGGGGTGGGGGGCTTGGGCCATCATGCCATCCTTCTCTGACTTGTGCCAGCAGCTTTAGCCTCCCTCGGTATCCTCCTGGCTCTGGAGACAGACTCTCTGAATTCCCCATAGGAACACTAACTGTGTCACTGTGGGCAAAGGATAGCTCCTGTTGGTGCCTCAATCTTCTCATTTGTATAGTAGGGATCACAGTAGCTCCCTTACAGGGTGGGAAGAGCCTTGAGATGATCTGCATAACAGATTTGGCACAGTGTGGGCACACAGTAGGCCCTCAGTGAACAGCTGTGCATCAGCCTGCCCCAGTGGTCTGCCTATAAAGCCCCCTGAGGGAGGGAAGGCCCAAGGGTGAGCTGTTACCTGAACCCATCCTTGTGGCTTTCGCTCAGGTGGCAGGTGCCTCCGTGCTGACAGGGGTTCTGGATGCAGGTGTTGATGGGCATAGCGCAGTCTTTGCCCTGAGGAGCAGGAAAGGGAGAAGCACCTGGTTAGGGAGGCTTTCAGTGGCTGCCTTGACCAGGAGGCCCCCTGGAGTTCCCAGCGTCCTCTGGGATGAGGCCAGGCAGAAGGCCTCTGCTGTGTGGCTTGGAGGACGCCAAAGGGGGCCCTTACTTTTGGCCGTTCCACACTGAGAGAAGGTTGAGAACTGAGGAGTTCAGGCCCCAGCTTCCCTACTTCCTGGAATTCACATCCTTTTCTTTATCCTGAACTGCAGGGCAAGAGCATGGGCTTTGGGTACAGGGAAGCCTGGTTTCAAATTCCAGCTTCATCTCTTCCTGGTTGGCTGGCCATGACCTCATCTAAGCCTTTTAACTCTCAGCCTACCTCACAGAGCTACCTAGCAGAGGACACGTACTCTTAGCTGCACTGAGGCCTCAATATAATCCACAACTTGAGTAGGGAGGGCTGGGGCTGAAGTGTGGCCAGAGGACCTTGCCCCTATAGGGTGACAATTCCACAGAGATCTACCTTTAATTGGTCTGGAAGTGGGCCCAGGTGTTGGTATTTAGAGTTCTGCAGGCGATTCTAATGTTAGGCCAGATTGAGGACCTCTGGGACAGACAGTTTTGTGTGGGGTGGCATTCCTCTGAAGCAGGCCCCTCTGGAGGGGACGTTTCAGCTGAGGAGTCAACTGCAGTAGGTGGGGAGGAGCATGCCAGGCAGAAGGACAGTGAAGATGAAGGCACTGAGGAGGGAGGCCAAGGCAGAGGCTGTGGACATTAAGACCGGGGAGCAGCCCGCTGGCCCTCTGGCTCTAACTCCCCCCTCCCCTGGGACCGACACACCAGCGCTACACCCAAGTCTTGGCAAGCAGTCCCTTAGAGGACCTGCGGGGTCTGGGGAGGCATCCATTGTATTTGTTTCTGGGCTGTGGACTTGGTGTGGGCACCATGCCAGGCGGGGGTGATCACGGGAGCCCTCCCACTGCCATACCACCTGCTCGCCATCTGCTTGAGAAAATCCTCTTCCCGCCTCTGCTGCTGCCAGTGCCTGTGACGGAGTGGGGCTGGGCTCCCTGGCTCGAAGGTTGCTGCCAACTGGGCCTACGACTCTCCCTACTGTCTCCAACCCTGAAGCCCTTGCAGTATCCAGCAGCCAGGAGGCATGGCCACGTCTGTCTTGGCTCCCTTCATGCCCCCTCACAGCTAACGGCCAGTCAGAGTTTTCTTGAGGGGGAGAAGGAGAATGCAGTTTGATGTGGGATCTGGGCTTATCCTAAACCAGAACAACACGGGATCCCTTACACAAAGTCATTGCGTGCAACGGAAACTGCAATACTCATTCTCAATTTATTGAGAACATTTTCCATTCCAGGCCTCACGCTAAGTGTTTTATATTCACAATCACATATAATGTTCACAACAACCCTATGCGATCGGTAGGATTGTTATTACTGCCCTTTTCAGATTGGGAAGGCAGACTTGGAAAGTGAGCTAATATGTCCAAGATTGCACAGCAGTTAAGTGGAATAGGCAGCAGCTGAACCCAGGCATCCAGTCCAGAGCCAGCACTGGGAACCCCTCTGCCGGGTCACTGATGCTGCCCTCTCAAAACATGGGCTCCAGGGGTAGCACATTGGAGCACACACTCCAGTCTGGCTGCTGTGTGCCTTGGGGAAACTACCAGTTCTCTCTGAGCCTTGTTTTTATCATCTGTAAAATGGGAATAATACCTACCCTATGGAATGAATATTAGAAATCACACATATATAAAGCACAAGGCATGTATGGTAGCAACCTAAATAAGAGCTATTCGGATGATGAGGAGGCGGATTACTACAGGGGTCTGAGGCAGGGCTGAATGTGGGAGCTCAAAAGACTTTTTTCAGGCATTTGGTTGGTACCGAATTGTTCAGGAGTTTTTGTGTGTGTTAGATGGATGAGCCACGAAGAGCAGGACAAGAGAACTTGATCAAGTCAAGGCAGGGCCTCCCTGGCCCCTGCCTGGGCCAGCCTCTTTGCTCTGGGGGAACTCTTGAGTATCAGGGACTCCAGCTGGGATCTTCCCCTGGGGGTGGGGTTGGTGACATCTACTCAGGTCACTTATACTGAGCTCAGAAACCAGGAGGCAGACCGTAGCTCTTGGTGATGTGCTAAATGGGCCTGGAGGTAAGGATTTCTGTCACTTATGTGTCCTTGAGAAATAATCACCATTCTCAATACCTGGCTAATTAGCTCAATTCAACTCTCTTCAGCCTCATTTTGCTAAAATCTACTAGATTTATGATGTTCCTTGGTCCCCACTGCTGTGTGTGTGTGTGTATGGGAGAGAGAGAAATAGAGAAAGAGAGAAATAGAGAGGGAGGGAAGGTGGGAGACAGGGACATGGCTGGGGCTTCTGGCTTCTTTTAAAGGAGCCGGGGAGTAGCTGTCCCTGTTGGAAACCTCTTTCTGAGACAGCCAGGAGGGCTGCTCCAGGACCTTGCTACTCAGAGGGTGGTCCTCAGGCTAGTACCTCCGGTGTTCCCTGAGAGCTTGTTAGAAAGGTACAAACTTGGGCCTGACCTCAGATCTAATGGATCAGAAGCTGCATTTACTAAGACCTCCAGGTAGTTCTCGCGCCAATACAGCGTGAGAAGCACTGCGTGTAGACACTGAACATGCACACGTGAAGCTAAATGGCTGAAAAAGAACGAGCCCAAACATACATCTTATTTCCCCCAATGCGAAACAGCTGTAAAACAGGTCTCTCTGTGAAGTGCCTACTGAATCCTGGCACCAAGGCGGGCGAAGCACAAACATGACACTCGGAATCCTTCTAGGAGCTCTGCAGGTGAGTGTGATGCTTCACATCTCCAGGTGGGGAGTGAGGCTCTGAGGGACCTGGTCCCTAGTGGAGCACTGAGTGTGGGGACTTTCCTGTGAGAGAGGAGGGCTCTGGGTTTAGTTTGTGTGCTTCCCTAGGTCTGGAAGCTCGGGTAAGTTATCTGATCTTTTTGAACCTCAGTTTCCTTATCTGCCAAAAGAGGTTAACAGACCTTATTTCAGAAGGTGACTGAGGGTGCTAAATGAGGTAATGTGCTCAAATTGCTTCACAAAAGCCTGCCATTATAGATGACCAGTAGCTGCCACCAAACACTGAACAGTGGGGGCCATGCTGTTTTGGATAATATTGTGGCTTCCCAAGGTCACTCAGCTAGTCAATGGAAACGCTGCGGTATCTGGAAATAAATGGAGAAATGCCAGAACTTTGAACTTGGTTTTGTGGGTGTCTGGTGATTATTGTCAACTTAGCAACTCATCCAGAACTTACTACCTCAGTCACTCTGCCTGGGTGGGCTCCAATCCAGGAAGAAGGGAAAGCCAGGGAATAAATGCAGAGCAGGGGGTATGATGCAACCCAGGGTTAAAGGTTAAAGGACCTCTTCGTTTCTACCTGCTGCATTTTGAGATTGAACCTGATACGGGGAGGAGAGGAGGAGCTGTCCCAGGCCACACAGTCAGGTAGGGACAAGCTCCACAGTGTTCTTTCCATTCTGCTTGGTGTTCTTTCCACCAGCATAAACTACTTTCCTTATTCTGGAGACTTAGGTCCCAAATGGCTACGGACCCTGCATTCATGGTGCTTCTCCATGGACTGTGAATACAGTGGTCAAAAACATGGGTTCTGGAATCCATTGGTTCTGAGCTCTGAATCCCAACTCCCTCACCTACTATCTCAGTTTCCTAAACTGGAAAATGAAGGTCATTTTAGGACCTGTCTCCTTAGGCTTTGATGAGGAGAATGCAGGATAATGCTTGTACCTTGTTTAGTATACTGTCAGTATGTAATAGGCACTCAGTAAATGCTGGCTGCTCATATTCCTTCACCATCATCACCATCATCACCATCACATACCATCACCACCATTATCATCCTCCTCCTTAAGGTACTCCAGGCCTGCATGAGCCCGATAGCTTCATAAAGGTCAAAATCTCAGTTCAGATTCTTCTGCTAGACCTTCAGAATCTTACGAGCAAAGTCTGAACAAGTGGCCTTATCTTTCAAATAGGGATGATCCCGCCCACCTCAAAGGTTGATTATACAACTCAGAGAAGGGAATAAATGCCAATGTCCAGCTGAGTGCCTGATCCACAGTCGACGCATAGGTATGGTATTGGGGATGTTATAAATGCACATATCACCGTTCCAGGAGAGCAACTGATGATCTCTGGCAATTCACAGTGTCATGGACTGAGAATCCCTAGTGAGACCAGCAGCATACTGCCTGTTAATGGCGGCCCATCCATATCCTGGTATCAGGACCAGCATGCAAGGGTAAAGAGAGATGTAGCAATGTGCCAGTGTACAGAGTGCATACTGAACAGCTGTCCTAGGTGTCTTGCATATGCTATTGCACATTTGATTCTCACAGCACCCCTGTGAGATAGGCCCTGGTTTGTCCACAGGAAGGCTAAGGCAAAGCCACTGGCCATCACCACATAGCTAGTAAACAGCAAAGCTGGAGTTCACATGTGCCCTCTGTATAATTCCACAGCCTGAGTTTTCTCCACTGAATTGATACAAGTGGGTTTGAGGAGCTAGGCCTCCTGAGTATGGTATCTTCACTTCTACACTTCCCCTGCAATGTCTGTGAGTGTGCACATGTAGGATGCATGGGTCTGGGGTGGCTGCCTGGGGCAAGGCCGTCTGGCTGGCTGGCTGCAAAGGGAATCCTTGGGCTCTCCTATGGCAGGCCCATAGGTGGCACTCTGACACTATCTGCTGGAGGCACAGCTACAGCTGAAAAACCACCAGGGAGCCCTGTTCCCCAGAGTGATTCTGCCCCTCAAGCTTGTCACTACACATACAAGTCCCCCTGGGGACAGGAGACCAGTGATGCCAGCTCCCTTCCGCTCTGCCTGTATTAGGCATGTGCAGTAGATGGGTTTTGGGGTGGTGTTGGAATGCTTGGCTTGCCCACTGTATGCGGATGGGTGCCTTGGTGAGGCTGGAAGCTGGGAAGGTCCTGGGGAAGAGGAGTGAACCACTGTTTTGTTGACCCCAGCGAGCCACGGCGGAGGGCTTGGCTATCCAGGAGTAAAGGTGGGGACTTTGGAATCATATAGCTCTTGGTCCTATCCCAACCCTACTGCTTATGAGCTTTGAGACACTGAGTCAAGCCTTTTCAACAATCTGAGGCCCAGTTTCCACATCTATAAATGGGAAGTAATGAGCCTTCCTCATAAGGGGTATTTAAAAAGAAAAGGTAAATAGGATGTCAAGCAGAATGTTGGCCATGTAGTCCATACTCTATAGATGTTAGTAGGGACTTAGGATAGATAGTGTTGGGTGAGAAGAAAGGAAGAAAAGTTGCTTTGGAATTAGCCTGGATTTCTGGGGAGGACACCCAGGAGAACGAGGGTCTCCATCCCCTTCCTGGCTGACCTGAGCCTGTCAACAGTGCATTAGCTTGGCAGCTCCCAGGCCTTTCAATCCCTCATCCCTATACCTTCTCAAACTGGAGCCCACTTTCAGCACTGGCCCTCCTGAGGCAGAGTTAGGGAGGGGATGGGGAGAGTCTGGAAATCCCCTTGAAAGGAAGCCAGGATAGTAAGTTCAAGGGATGCCTCTAATTGGAAGCATTTTCACTCTCTGAGACTTATTTCCTCATGTTTAACAAGGAAAATATAAATATTACATTTCCTCCTTAGAGTGTCACTGCCAAGATGGGGTTCTCTGTGTTTTGCATGAGTGTGACACAACTGGGCAGCCCCTGCCAGTAGAATAGCAGTGTTACTGTTACTAGAATAGCAGTGTAACAGCAAGTGCCAAGTGCCACTCTGGAGTGACCTGTGAAATGCAGTTCTCCAGGCTGCCCTTGGAGAAGGGAGGGTCAGCAGGGCACAGTGCCTTCCTTGGGCCGTGAATGGTGGGGGCGGGGCTTCCTATCTTACCTTGTAGCCATAGGGGCAGGTGCAGTGGTAGAGCTCCACAGGATCCTGGCTGCACGTCCCATTGTTCTTGCACGGGTCTGAGAGGCAGGCATTGCACTTGGCCACAATGTTGATGTCCACTGGCCCTGGACAGCAAAACGAGGATGTTGGTAGCAGGTCACTGTCACCCCTCCCTCCCTTTCCCTCCTCTCTGGCCCCTTCCTCAGCCAGCTGCCGGCCCCTCTCCATCTCTACACACAGAGGGTGGCTCCCCAGCCAGCACCATCCAGTCTAGCTGAGTCCCATTAATGCAGCCATTGTCCAGTGAGGAAAAAATCACAGTGGGACATCATTCAGAAGCACTTCTGCAGTCAAATAAATTACTGTAATTAGCCTGATCCGATTTTGGAGCTAATCTATAAACAATACACCATAATTAGAAACCCCTTGTGTATCTTTTCATGTTCGGGGAGCTCTGGTCCCAGGCTCCATTTGGACCTCCCACTCCTCTGCCCCTAAACACCCCTCCCCATGGAATAGTCTACGCTAGGCTAAGGAAGGCAGGGTGCCTGGGCCAAAGACACACATAGGAAGTCCCTCTTGTGGAACCCTTGATTGGCAGGAGGAAGTAAGAAGTGGCCCCAAAAGACACAGCAATGATATTGTTGACAGATGGTAAACTGTGCTCAGGCACACTGTGCATCTATGACAGTTTTGACAGTGTCCTGTTCTCTTCAGCTACAAAGGCTGGAGGGATGGAGGTCATGGTCCTTGAACAGAGCTTTGGAGATTGGGTTGAGAATGACCCCAGGGCAAGTCTGACCATTTGTGGGTGGGGTGAACAGAAAGGATGGCCTAAGAATCTGTACAAGCTGGCTTAACCCTGGCTTCCATTAGAACAGGGATACTATCTGTCCTGTTTGCCAGGGGCTGAAGGGATTCCCAGGACACAGGACTTTCAGTGCTAAAACCAGGAAGGCCCCAGCCAAACCGGGATGAATTGGTCACCTTACAGAGGAAACAGCGAAGGTGCTTTTAAATATCTTCAACACGGCCAGGCTGTACCCCACACTGATTTAATCAAAACTTGGAGTGTTGGGCCAGGGAACCAGTAAAAAGCTCTGCAGGTGATTCCAAAATGTGCAGCTAGGATTGAGAAACATTGTTTTAGACTGATCTGGGCCTCTTTAGCATCAATCAAGTGAGATGACTTGGAAGCAGGAGGAGAAAATGAAAAATTATCTTAAAGCCAAAAGAATGTTTTCCTGCTTTAAGCAGAAATGTGAGACTCAGGAAGTTTATAGGGTAATCAAAGTATATATATATATAAATCAAAATAAACTCAAGGCTCTAAGAGATGGGCAAAGGACACTACCAGACAAATGTATGACATAAACGGAAAGTAAATTTTTGAAAAAAATGCAGTTTCCCCAATAAGCAAAGACACAAAATAGGAGACATACTTTTTTAAACCTATCTAATTAGCAATGAGATGAAATGAGATAAAATAATGTAAGAGTCTGGTGAAAAATGCACTCAAATGGTGCTTACTGGGAGCATAAAGTGGTTTATAACCCTCTTTTAGACACCAAATGGCAGGGCAATATGTGTAAAGACCTTAAAAATGATCACATACTTTGGCTCAGTAGTTTCTGTTCTCTGAATCTTATCTAAGGAATAATTTTCAATAGAGAAAGACCTTTATGCATCAGTGGTAAGAAAACAACTGGAAATACCCAGTGAAGACTAAAGGTTCAGGGCCAGGAACTGGCTAAAGACGTTACGGTGGAATTATTAAAGCCTGGTGGCCACAAGTAGGTACAGGGGAATCAGAAAGACCTGGAATCATCCTAACTGTGGACTTGAGAAGTCCCTTAACCTCAGTAAGCCTCAGCTTTCTCATTCTTAAGAATAAGGGTGATACTGAAGTCTAACCCAGAGAGGGTTGGGGAACTGAATAAATACTTGGAAAGTGAGAATTAAATGAAATAACACACAAAAAAGTGCTTAACATGATGTCCAGCACATAAAAACCCAGTAGCAGTTTGTTGTCGTCAGTTAAAATCTCATGTACCTAAAGCTTGCTGTAGTAAAAATGGGAAAAGGCTTAGGCTTTAAGAATGTTGGGTGAAAAAAATGCAAGTTAAAGATTTTTCTCTGTGCAAAATGATATAGAGAATGAAGTCAGAGAGGAGTATGTAGGGATGCCAGCAGAGAAACTTGGAGGAGATAACAGCATCTGAGTCTCTCTGTGCAGCTTATAGAAGAGACAGGGCAGTGGTTTAGAAGTCACGTCTGTTGAGACACCCAGCTCTGGTGGGCTGTTGGAGACACAGCAGACCCCTCGAGAGGTGGGGGAGAGTCAGCATGTACCTTTGCACTGGAATCGGTAGGTGGGGGTGGTGAGCAGGAGTCTGTCAGCCATGGACTCAGGGCTACTGCAGCGGGCGATGCCAGGCTCCTTGTACCCCGCCTTCACCCACTCTGACAGCCAGCGCAGACTGCAGTCACAGTGGAGTGGATTGGTTCCCAGCGCCCTAGGAGGCAGAGCAGGAAGTCAGGGCCCCCCTTGCCCAGCTTGGCCCATAGGCTCCATACCCTTGGCCCTCTGGAGAAACAGAATTTTCAGACTCTGACTAGATTGGGGGTATCTGACATGAGGACCAGCAGAGAAGGAGTTTCCAGGAGGAGAAGGATGGACCTTTGGCCATCTGATTATCTGGCTCCCTTGCCCTACTGAAGGGTCCACTGAAGGATGCACTCTTCAGAGAAGGCTTTGATACACAGCAACCTAGGGAGAAGCTTCAGGCCACAGAAACGGTTCAGAGCACTCCACCCTAAATATGCTGCTTTGGCATATTGATTATTTCAAGCTAAAGGTACTTGAAAAATGGCCGGTGCAGAAGGGGCTCTCTGACCTCCCTGTCTCTACCTAAAAGCAAGTCAGAAAGTTTCCTGTGAGAAAGATGCCCTCCCTGCACCAAGAAGGGAAAAATATTCTTATCACTAGAGACTGGGAATGAATACTAAAATGGACCAGGCCAAACCTACCTGCTCAAATAACCTTGACCTTCCAGTGGTCCCTCTCCATATATTTCCTAGTCACTGCCGCACAATTGCTGCCCTAGCCCAAGGCCCTTTGTCTTGTCACATCCCTACAATTTATCATTCCTTGTATAAAAAAGTATATAAGTTTTTGGGTCCAATGGCTTCTTTGGGTCTTCATTTTCCATTTGAACACTCCCACATACACATAAAAACATCAAATATATTTATATCCTTTTCTCCGGTTGCTCTGTCTTATGTCAGTCTAATTCTTAGACCAGCCACAGAAACTAAGGGGGTAGAAGCAAGTTTTTCCTCCAGCTACACCACTTAGCTTTAAAAAAGCACAGCTGGGGGACGGCATGGGCTGATGCAGACCTCTCAACAGTGGTGTCCAGAGAGAAAATACAAGGATTTTTGCTTATTTTAAAAATCGTATCATTTAGAATTTCTATTTTTTGGATGTTTTATAAGGTGTATGCATAATGTATCAGTATCACAATATATGCATGCAATCTGAAAACAATCAAATATACATAGAGTTGTATACATATAGACTCAGAAATGTTCCTGGCAAAGGTTTGTAACACCTAATTTTTACAGACCTCGGTTTCCCCTGTGTGCAATGGGGACAGAATCCCTGATGCAGAGTGGCAGAGAATATGTGCTTTGGAGCCAAGGAAGACCTGGGTTGGAACCAGGGCTCTGCTGCTTACTAGCTGTGTGACCCTTGGACCAATTCTTTGGTTCTTCTCCATTTAAGCTTCACTGTGTAAGAAGGGGATAAAAATGCTTTATTGCTATAAGAAGTAAATGAGATAATTCATCTAAAGTGTTTATCACACAGTAAGAGTTTTATGTTAGTTCTTCTTATTAAACATTTACATTGTTTACATAATTGATGATGCCTTTGAAGGCATGTGAAGTAGAGAACACACAACGTGCACAACGTGGGCACATTTTCATGGAACATACCCTATGCATACGGAAAGAATGAATACTGAAATGTTAACAGTCACAGCATCATCTCTGGCACTCTAATGATATTGCATTTTGAATGGATCCACACCAGGCAGAAATATGGCTACTTACAGATGGGAAAGAGATGTCAGGTCACTGAAGGAGCCTTCGGGAACGCTGGAAATGTCGTTGCCATGGAGGGTTCTGAAGCAGAAACACAGGTCAGAGGTTAACCCCCCAGTAACAGTTCTGAATTCAGTACATTCTTGGGGTCCCAGGCTGGCCCAGATGCCTTTCAGCTGTGCTCAGAGCCCCAAAGCTCACAGTGGGGGGGTGTGTCCTCCTTCTCGGCAGGTGTGTGAATGTTTCCATGCCCAGCTCAGCAGTGGGGATGTTGGGGGTAGAGGGTGTGGGAAAGAAGAGGATGGGTTTTTGAATCTGACAGGCCTGGGATGGAATCAGAAACCAGCCCCTGTTAACTGTGGAACATTAGGTAAGTTAACTTTACTCTTCCCAGCCTCCGTTTTTGCACCTGAAGCATGGAGAGAGATACCCAACAGAGGCATCCGAGAGAGAATGTGAAGAACTGGCTGAGACTGTATGTTTTAGAACAGGCTGCTTGCGTTCAAATCCTGACTCTGCCACTTACAAGCTGTGTGACTATGGCCAAAGTTATTTACCTGTCTGTGCCTCAGTTTCCTATTGTAAAACGGGAATAAAAGTAAAAAAGATTTGTCATGGAAGGTGGTTGTGGGTGCATTAATCCATATAAAGTCTGGCATTTTCTACACGCTGAATGACCAGCCATTATCAATATTTGTGAAAGGGTCTCAAAGAATGTCTGGCCCAGCCAGATCAATAAATTAGTTCCCTTCATATTCACCTAGAGAGATTCTGGGAAGATTGAGAAATGTTACCAATCCCAGCTTAGGTGATAGATGGGGAGAGCACTCAGGTCCTGGGGAGACTGCCTGGGTCTGGACCCTCATCTTTATGGGGAAGGGTTTGGGCCACACACGTATGTATCTGGCACTGTGTGCATCTGAGTGCATTTTCTGACTGCGTGTCCAAGGGGCCAGGCAACCTACTTGGTATTAATTATACCTCTCTCCACCCTGTGGTATAGGGGCCGGGAGCTATTCTCACTTGTAAAGTGGTGGCATATACTGTCCTTCCAATAAATGCCTGGAGAATAGGTCCATGAGAAAAATACCAAATGAACATTGCTCCAGTGCTCAAGTAACAATGCTAGTAAATCCTCAATTCATGGATTATACCCTCCTTTGAAGAATTAAGCCTCAACTGCCTACAAAAATATCCCCACACCGATGACTCACTTTGGGTCTGAGCTGTGAAATGCAAGGTAAGTGAAATTCATAGACACTCAAAGCCTTCTTTAGTGACTACTGCTCACTGTCCCCTGTGCTGTGAAGGAACCCTAGTAAAACAAAGGGGTGATTAGAGTTGACTGGGGAAGTGTAAACAGGATAATAACTAATGAATCTGTCCTTTTGTTTTCCTTTTGGCTGATGTTAGCCTGCCCTGGGTTTTGAGCTGAAATACAGACAGGAGCTTAATTACATGTAATACAGACTGAGTGCTGGAGCCAACACATGGGTGGATTTCTGACACCCATTCTCAGGGGCCCTGGTTCAGTGGGTCTGGGGTGGGGCCTGAGACGCTGCATTTCTGACCAGCTCCCAGGTGATGCTGATGCTCTTGGTCCTCCGGACCACATTTAGCTGTCCCAGGCTGTCATCTTCATCACCTCAAGCTCCTTGCCCTTCTCGCTCCCCAGGACAGCAGGAAGAAGGTAACCAGTCCTCTAGAGAGTGTTGGAGGTAGCTTCTCACCGGCCTGCGTAAGAAGGAGCTAGAAGTACTTCCTAACACTTATCAGTATCATTTAGTCTCGAATGCACGTGGTTATTTATGAATCACACCGGCTCCTGCCTGCTATTAGCTTGGATGACTTCATGGCTGCTCGCTGTTTGGCAAATGCACCCGGCCCTGTTGTTAATCATTTCTGAATGAGGCCTGGGCCCCTGGAGAGGCACGAAGCCCTAATTTAAAAACACCAAATGACCCAAAGGCAGCTTTGGCGCTGTGACTCCTGTAAGTCACGCTCCCATTTATTACGAGCTGAGCCGCTGAGATCTCCATAAACTGCAGAGTAACTGGGGCTGTAATTTACTGGGACAACGCGAAAAGAAATCTGCCTACACTGCAGGTTCTCTCTCCTGGTTTGCCCCCAAAGAAAGACTCTTGCGTGTCCAACCACCATCCTAAAGGATGCCAGGGAAGTGGGACAAAGGTTCCCTCCCAGGAAGCACTCCCTCCTCCCTCCCCCACCGCTGCTTTACCTCCCCTTTCCCCTTACACCTCATGGGGCTGGTGATGGCAAGCAATTTCCAACTCAGAATGACCCATCTTCAAGCGCCTGGGACTCCTTTTCCCTGCTGACTCTTAATAGGTGTTAAAGCAAACTTGGGAATGTTGGGATGCGGATGAGGGCATCATTTAGAGCAACATGAAGGCAGAACCATCTCATGTTAATTCTGGGTTGCCTGAACCTTGGGTCTCTGGATCCCCAGGTGCTCATAGAATGTGTATATTGCACAGGCGTTCCAGTGTGTATGATACATGGCAGGGAAGATCCTCATCCCAGATGTGGGCTGGGGTGGGTGAAGTCTCTTTTCAGCGGGCTAGGTCACTCCTAAGGGTTAAATGACCCTGGACCAGACCTCCTGGGTGTGAGTCATTGCCGGCTGTGTGATTATCTGATTCAACAGACTCAATCTTTCTGTACCTTAGTTTTCTCATCTCTAAAATGGGAGTTCTCAGGATCCACTTGCAGTAGATATCTTTTTAGGAATGTGGATTAATTGGTACCAATCTCTCTTCTGTAACAGTTCCTCCCTTTTCCAAGGGGGACTCACCCCTCCCTCCCCTCAGTCCAACTGGTTTGGTCTCAGGGGCAGAACCATGGCCCAGGTCAGCCCAATCAGTCACTGAGATTGGTTTGAGGCTGAGCAGGTGACCTAAGTGGGTCAGTGAGATATTTCTGGGACTTTCTCTGGAACTATTAGGACAGAGGCAGTTTTGAAAAGCAGAAAGAGGCACATTTCTGATACCACTGGAAGTCCCTGCACCCAGCCCTAGAATGTAATATCTACTACTGAAGTTTTCAGTAATATGCTTTGATAAATTGTCTTCATGCCTAATGTGGTTTGAGCTGATTTTCCTATCCTTCAGCCAGGAAGGGATCTAACGTACCGCTTCATAAGCTAGTTGTGAAGCTTAAAAGACACAATGCAAGTGGTTCAGATGGCGCAGGGCTACATGCAGGGCCTGTACTTGATGCACACTCCTTCACGTGAGCTGCGGCCATGGCTAAGGTCACCATGACTCCTTCCCCTCTAGGTTCTGGGTTGTGTTTTGGGGCTAGTCCTCTCAAAGCCTTCCCCACACACAGAGGGGAAGCCTGAAGCTATGCAGCGTGTATGTCCTGTGACAGACTCCAGGACTGGAGAAGAGGAACACTGGGTTTCGGCAGAGTGACCCGTGCCTGTCACCTTCCTGTTCAGGTGTCTTTCCACCACATTCCTTAATTCTCATCAGAGGCATCTCTGGGCCACATCCTTCTAATCCTCAAGAAAAGTCCGAAATGGGTGGCAACAAAAAGAGATAATCTCTGGTGGGAAGGATGGAATGTGGTGGAAAGAGCACTGGGCTAGGAGCTGGAAACCAGGGTCCAGCCCTGCATCTGCTCCCACCTTGTGGCATGTCTGCAGCACAGCTTCCTGCTCCCATTCCCAGAAGCCACATCCATCCACACCTGTAGCTCCTTGTGGTCCCTGTGCACATGCCCTTCCTGACTTCAGGGACTCTGTCTAGGGAATTTATATTCTCCCTGCCTAGAATATTCTCCACTCCCATCACACAGGTAACTCCCCCTG